CTTCTATCATTTGTTTTTATCTATAGTGCTTTTCACCACATTATCAGAAAGCTCTGACAAAATTTTTATTCCGTGTTCTCTTTCGAGGAAAATATTCTGTCACGTGATTACAAAACCCGATTATTGGTTCATTAGTATCATCGTTTTTTATTTGTAGGAACTATTTTCTAGTATATTGCATTGTACAGGTTGCGCCATTCAGTCGGTTGATGTCGTAGCGGAGCGCTAGTGGTCTCGTCCGAGAGGCGGGACTATGTAGTTTTTGTCTCTACACAGTGCATGTTTTTACCGTTGAAGCCCACATTTCGAGAGGATGTTCTGTGATCCCAACGCAGCCCGCTTTTCGGAATCGGTTTAATTTAGCCCCGTTGTCTTCTGTCTTGCACCAAAAATCAATTGTTCCATGAGTCACTATGTTCGGACAAATTTCAAGCGCGACAAGACGAGACTGGACTGAAGATGGCAATTGTATAGAAACTTTCTCGGATGGACGCGTATGGGCGTCTTCTCGAAGTCGTTCCTGAGGACGCTATTGTTTTTTTTTGTGATGAAGCCCATTTTCATTTGTGTGGATCCGTCAACAAACAAATCCTACCCTACTGGGCGGACCCCAGTCCTCGACAATTGCATCAATATATACACAAGAAAAGATACTGCACCAATATCAGGTAAGGGTAAATACAAATTGTATTATTTGTTTACGGAAATTGGCAGGAGACATTCCCTTGAATTGACCTGGTAAAGCATTGTAAAGTATGGCAGAATTATACGAAAAGCAACACTTGAAAAATGTCATAGAGTGAGGCGGTATTCTGATTATTCTGCGGTCTCTTATGCTCCTGCTATGAACTTCATGACTAAATATTATCTTACCTCTCAAATGAGCGGGTCTTGACGTAGCTATCAACTTGTGCAAAAATATTAAGTACTTGTACTCAACTAGCTCGCCAATTTTTAGCCATTCATACGATGGTACTTATCGCTAACATGGTCAAATTTTCTCAGCCCATGGATAAAACGGATGCAATTATTTTGAATAATTTGCAGCCGGTTCTTCATGAACTGGTCGAGACATTGATAGTACAGAATAGCGCAATAATTTAAGATTGACATAACAAGAGACTCACACAATTTTTTCCTTAATTTATAATTTAGAAGATGGCGATTGGCAAACAATGCTCTCATTCTGGCATATGTCTTTTTAGTTAGTGACATGGCATGGCCCATAAACCTTAATTTGCTGTCTACTTCAACGCCTAAAATCTTAGCTGTATGTGTTAGTTCTAACAGTGAACCATTTAGGTGCACTTTAAATGAATTTTCCAAATTTCTTCTTCTTGCTTCTGAGCAAAATAGTAATATTTGCGTTTTATCTCGATTTATTGTTAGATTGTGGTCACTTGAATATTTTTGCACTTTGCTCAGATTCTGCTCTAATAGAACAGAAGCATCTTGCGAACAAGAGGTGTCAAAATAGTGTATAAGTTGAGTGTCATCAGCAAAAGTTTGTAAATCAGAATGTGCGACAGATTTGTGCAAATCAAAAGTGTATATCAAAAACAATACTGGACCTAGTATGGTACCCTGAGGGACGTCCAATGGTATTACGCTGACTCTAGATCGCCTGTTGCCCACAGAGACATACTGCGTACGCTGCTGAAGATAGTTTTTAAAAAACTGAACACTCACATTATCAAGTCCAATATAATGTATTTTGGAAAGCAAGAGTTGATGATTGGTGAAGCTTTAGAGTAATCTATTGAGACTAGAGTTACCGCCATCTTTTTCTCGATAGCTCGGATCACATTATCGCACAGATTCAGTAGCGCAGAGGTTTTACTGTGCTGCTTTCTAAATTCTGATTGATTAAGAGAAAGAATACCATTGTCTTCAACATACAATTGTATTTGAAACTGCACCGCCTTCTCTAAAACTGTAAATAACGCAGGCAATAAACTTATAGGTCTAAGATGTGTAACATCAGTTGGCTTAGGGATTTTAGGTATTGGTAAAATTAATGCATTCTTCCATTCTTTGGGAAATACCCCTTTCTCAATACAAATGTTCACTATGTGCAATATATGATAGAATATTACCGGTAAACTAATTTTAATCATCGTTATTGACCAAGTATCAAGGCGTTTTGCATCTGATTTTAAATTACTTATAATGTCAAAAATCTCCTGGGGACTTAGAATTTTCGAGGAAAAAGATTTTGTGGGATTCAACCTATTGTTTTTATAAAATCTTCATGTATCTCCCGGTACACTGTCAGCACTATAAACATACATCAAGTAGTTGTTTATAGTATCCCCGTCATTTATGTTTTATGGCAGGGAAGGTTTACTGCGAGAGTCTATACTAAAATTCTTTAAGCCTGACCAAATTTTGCTTGAATGATTTTGCTCGGAAGGTTCTCCCAGACAGGCTTTTTTTGCTTTCCGGATATCTATAAGAACTTTGTTTCTGAGACGTCAATAGCTTTCAAAATTATTTGAAGTTCTATTTAGTCTATATCTCGCCAATGAATCATCTTTGTCTTTCATGGCCTTTTTGAGTTCATTATTCAGCGAGGGTGCTGGAGGTTTAGATACACGAACAGTCCTAAGTGGGGCATGCTTATTGAATAGTTCAACCAAGATATTTGTTAGATGAACAAGAAAGGTCATTAAGGAAGGCTGTATCGTCAACATGTTTAAAGTCTCTAAAAGTTATTATCCTTGGTTTCCTTTTAAAAGTACCTACCTTTACGTTGCACATGACAAGCTTGTGATTAGAAGATCAGAAGAAGGTCAGGCTTGCTAGTGAATATAGGGTCAAGTAATGTTGCTCAGTGCTCCGTTACGCGGGTAGGAGAGGTAATCATTTGTGCAAAGCCGGTTGAATTGAAGCAAGGCAGCAGAATGTTATTTTGATTTAAAAAGTCAACATTCAGGTCACCCAATATGACTACATTGTCGAATTTACTGGAAACTTCGGGCAAAAGAACATCTAACAAGCTGACACAGTCACTTATATTTTGTGATGGTGGTCGATACATCACCCCTATAACAAATATACTTCTATTAACATTCAGTTTTAACCAGAAACATTCCAAATAAGCACTCGTTTGTACAACTAAGTTTAAAACTACAATACGTAAGTTAGATTTAAAATAGATCTTCAAGACTATGTAAAACAAAACTTTGGACATGGCCTACATTATAAAAGACATATAAATATGTTCCGATTTATGCAATGGGTTTATTGACTTTTGAAAAATAAGTTATGCTGCCGCACTATGTAGTATATCTCAGCACTTTTTCTCAAAAAACTCGAAATATTGGTAAAGACATTATCAGAACATGTCCGCCATGTTTCAATATGCCGGTGTGAGCGACAAGAGTATGAGGTAGCAAAGTCGAGATTTAAAAGTAGTACATTGAACTCTATATAAACATCTACGTATACATTCTGAAGCTTCTCCAAGACTTTCGAGGAAACCTCCTTTTTGAGCACCAAATATCTGGGACTATAAGAAAACATTACCTGGAGCGGATTTAGGAATCTATTTAGGAAGGGATGAAAAATTTAAAAGCGAGACCGCTTGCTTAAGCACTCAAGCTTCTGGTAGCAAATGCCCTTGTAACTATTGAAGAGGGAGGTGGGATACGTTTAGGGGGACACGTCTCACGTCTCAGGTTAAGCAAGGTAACTGTTAATAATAACAATAATATTTATTCACTCAATGTACAAAGAGTAAACAAATAAACCAATAATTTTAAGTTGCAATTGTAGACTACAAATTAGTAAAAAGGGCAAAAATTGGTTAAAAGCATTATGTGATATTCGTTTTTAGTTTATGAATTTCAGGCCTAAATGTAGAATGTAGTCACTTTTCAAATTCATTTTGAAAGAATTTTTGATGTAAATGACTGCTGTATTATAACAGATTTATGTGGCTGAGGAACTACTGTGCCACGAATTTTGTACATTGTATAATGATTTGTTTAATTTTTTGGTCGGTGTTAGAAAAGAAATAAAGCTAAAGTTTCACTTTTTTGAAATCATTTTCAGAATACTTTTTTGAAAGATATCTAAATTATAGCTATGTGATGAACATGCAGCACTCCATGCTAATACACCATATGTGAGATGATCAGTGTATAGTATAATGTACGAATATACCTTTCTGTCATTAAGTCCGCAATGTATTTAATTTTGTACGATACAAATCTTACTTTCTTTAGAATATAATTGACATGAACGTCCTAACTTGAGTGAGGATGCAATACTGTTCCAAAGTATTTTATGTTTGGTACTCTATTGATTTGTAGTTTTTGATCATAAATGTTGAAGGACAAATCTGAGTGATTGTGCAAATGTCTAGCATAAGATAAAATGGTAAAAAATGTGTTTTAGCAATAGTTAACGCTTAATTTTTTGCTATCAAATCACTGACAAATTATGACAAAATTATTTTTAATCACAGTTTTTTAATCAAACCAGACAGTGCCTTCATATAATATTGTAGTATTGTGTCCAAAACTGTTATAAATGTTATGTATTAAATAACAGTGGACCTAAGACTGACCTTTGTGGGACACCACACTTAATATATATGTCCTTGCTAAATGATCTTGATATCGGTTACTCGAAGATACACCAATATATACCATTTTCTTGGAAATAATGGCTAACTTGGACGTCCAGTGGGATACGCGTTCCTCGGCCCTTCTAAGTCCGCCCTTGAACATCACTTTTTGTTCATGTCCGAGAATGATAATACCTATGTGTCATGTTTAGCCTTTAAGAAGATGAAAAATGTAGGCAATGGTTAAGTTTTTTACTAAAAACGTAAAATCAGGTATGTAACGTAAGTAAACATTAGTTAAGCGGTTTTTCTGAACATTCATCTTCCCGTTAGGGCAATCAGTTTTTTGTGTGTCAAATACATTCACAAGCAGGACCATTGCTGAAAACAAAATACTTTCTTCATCATTAAGTCTTCAACACCTCTTCACTAATTATATAATTAGCATAAGTACATAATCAATCACGACCCACCATCTGCCGCGAACAAATCGAGTAATTGCTTTTTGGCATTAGAAAATAGTAATCTTGTATCATTCCATGACTAACTGTTGTTATCAACAGACCATCAATTATTCTTCGAGGATTAACACGTTGTACTAATGGTTTTGCAGAAGCTTTATTGATCAAAATCATTCATTCATTGTTTTTCAAACAAAGGGCCAAAAATTCAAGATATAATATGGAGAAAATATTTCTACGATTTGAATGAAGAGATCCTAAAATAATTGCAGTAGTATATTTTTCGGTGGCACTGTTACGCTGTTGGTTTGTAATGATGAGCGCAAAATGGCGTCGTGCTGGGACTGGAGTCTTTGCCGCCTTTTTGATGAACGCATTCATCGAAAATCTCGAAAATCACCGATTATATGTAAAAACATAATTGTCATTCTGCTTCTGTAATAAACGGTAAAGTACATTTAATGATATTCTGACTTACAATGGCTAAATTAAGAATCTATGAGTACATACAGGGTCCGTCAGAAAGAACGCATGTTTTTCGAATAGGTACTACATCATGTGGGCTGGTCCCCTGTCGGTGTGGAAGGGCGTGTTGGATAGCGGGAGAAGTGCCGTTTCAGTTGGCAAGATGGTTTGGAACGTTGAGCATCGTGTGTTCACTGTACGTCGGTACTTTCAAAATGGTGAGTATGTCGTTCGAACGCACCGTGAGTTTCACCTTCACATTCGTGTTCCACGTCGTGGGACAGTACCAGACCGTAAAACTATTTTGAGATGGGTGGAAGCATTCAACACAACAGGTAATGTGATGAAGAAAAAACCGTCAGGGCGAAACCGTACTGTTAGAACCCCCGAAAACGTAGACAGAGTGAGAGTTGACACGCTGCAAAGCCCGAATCGTTCCGTCCGTTTGAGTGCTAGTTCCCTAGAGATCCACGCGTCCTCTGCCTACGTCGCATCTTGAAGAAGGATTTAGTGTTCCATCCTTACAAAATCCAAGTTTGTCAACAACTGTTGCCAGGGGATTATGCACAACGTGTTAATTTTGCACAGTTCATGATTGAACAGTTGGGTAACAATAAACAAAATAGTCGATATTGGTCTCCAGTGAACCTACAACAGTTGCATGAGCACTGCATACCCCGAAAGTTACAGTTTGGTGTGCAGTAGACCCAACGATGATTATTGGCCCTTATTTTATTTGAGGATGATGGAGAAGCAACTACTGTGAATCCAGAGCGTTACATCCACATGCTGAACAACCTTTTATTTCCGGAACTTCGACGTCGACGTGTCCGTCTCAGAACAGTGAGGTTCCAACAAGACGGGGAAACATCTCACACAGTTCGCACTTCGATAGAACTTCTTCGGCAAAAATTCCCATTACGTCTCATTTAACGTCATGGCGATATTCCATGGCCCCCTCGCTCCACGCACCTGTCAACGTGTGATTTTTTTTATGGAGCTACCTCAAATCAAAAGTTTACCAAAGCAAGCCTCGGACCCTCGTTGATTTGAAGCAGGAAATAAGAAGAGAAGTAACCCGAATTCCTGCACGGATGCTGGACGACGCAATGGGCTCATTTCGGGAGAGGCTTGATTCCTGCATTTCGGCTCAAGGGGGCAATATGGCCGACATAGTTTTTAGAACGTAAATTTTGCTTTAGTCAAAAAAGTGGCATGTATGTATGGGTATTTTGATATAATAAAATATTTCTTCCAATACTTATTTTGACTGTACTACTCATTTAAAAAAGCATGCGTTCCTCTGACGGACCCTGTACATACATGAAAAAGATTTTTTGACGCAGATAGATTTGTAACTCTGTTATAGTATTGTCTATAGTTCCTTAAATATTATTTAAAAAATCACTCAACCTTTGGGTTTTTCTGAGTCAATCCAGCGAAAATCGAATCACATGCTAGATTTTCGAAATCCTTTGCTACTTTTTTCGTCTTATGAAAGGCGTTTTAAAGCCTTTTTCAGAAACTAGAAACATGTGGTTGAAAGTTATCTAAACTTCTTTTTGCTGTACATCCTGCATCGTCAATATCAGAATTTCTCATTAATTATTCACGTCACATTCGCGTGAATAGTTTATTACTTTTGGAAGTTGAGCGAGTACTATTTTGATATACGTGTTCCAACCACGTGTTTTTACAAAAACAAATCAATACTTAATAACACTTATTATTATTATTAGCCTTGTGGTTCAGCTGGTTTATCTTCCCAAAATCTCGACCTTTGTATATGAGTTTTTTTACGTATTTCTAGAATATTTATACGAACTGTGCATAAACAGCCAGTATCAACAATTATGGCTAATTGTTCTTATCTTCGCTTTCCTGGTAATATGAATTATGTATTGCTCACGACACTGAATACAGGGTGATAGTATCAAATAGAAAATGTAAGGTATAATGTGTTACTTAATATTCGTTCAGGTATCCTTTAGCACTTTAGTTAGTCAGTTGTCCTCTACCTAGATAATATTGCATTTTAATTACCTAAAATAGATAGCTCACGTCAGTTTTTTTAAGATGATTACAGCTTACCCTTGTTTTCCGCTTGTGGGACATGTTAAAACTCTTCCATCGGAAAAAACTAAACTTAATCGAATCTTTTGGATTTCTCACTGAAGGAATTGACTAGTAGGATGCTGATAGAACATATACACACATGTCATGTCCATAAAAGTTGTTTTTCTTACTTTTGACGAAAGTAATTGCAGAAGTAGGGGACTATGGGGCTCAAACCCCCTCTTCCCAAGCCCCCTCTTCCCACTCCCACGTCTGACCACTAATATTCCGCCCTCGCTCCTCAATTTTCAATCGCCTATACCTCCCCGAGACGGAAATCTCCCTATACGTGATCCTGAACTTTTTTATGTATTCGCTAGTCATGATAGAACTTTACGTTACAGCTTTGGCGTGCAAGTTTTGCTATTTTCAAATCATTTTTTTGATAATACTTCATTGAAATCATCTGTTTATATCCGTGACTTTAACTATGGCAAATACACAATTATAGACAGACTTGGAAAATCGATGCAGTGGCCATTCTTAATTGTATAAAATTCGACTCTCAGCACTGGAATCTCGAGAGCGGAAGATATACGAAATCGTTTAAACCGAGGATAAATTGGGCATTTCGTCAACCAATAATAATAAGTGACCACCTAGAGGGTCTGAGATTATTTCTAGAAATAGATGGAAAAAACGAATCTTCCCAAAACCGTTTTTATTTTCTCCATTCTTCAGGTCGGCCTTGAAAAAAATGCATATTTAAACACTTTTTCTTTTCTACAAGCTGACAAAATTGGAATTTCCGTCACCGCCATAAACATTACTTTTTCTTGTTGACGCGATATTGTATTTTTGTGTACAGGTGGTGGTTAGAGCTTTTAATTCTGATTCCAAAAATCTAACATGTCATTGCAAACCTTCAGTTATTTTCAATATTCACATATTTTCATAGGTGACCTTGATAAAACAGCTTATCACATGTTTCTTCGATTACATTACCAATAAAATACTGTTTCAGTTGTTGAGCGTATGGCGTCTTTAAAATGCGTTTAGATAGTATGCCCCTTTATTCACTATAGCAAGCGTTATTATTAGCACTATGGAGCCTCCCTACATCCCTTCAGCCGAAAATTAATATTATTTGAGCGCAAGATGTGTTCATCGGTTTAGATATGATCATTACAAAATATATTTAGCAGCCTGCAATTTATCTCAGTTTACCGTTTTCAGACTTCCTTTTACTACCCTTAATTAAAGAGAAGGGAGAAATCGATGATATAAGGTTGCTTTTTTAGACATTCTATGAAAGCAATCTATATCATATTGTGTACATGGTTGAGATATTAGATAGAATATATTCCTAGCTGATAAAATATGAAGGAATGCTTGGCTGATATACCTCTTTTATTATAGTAATACAATAATATTGTATGACATTGAATTAAAATATTTATAGTCTATGCAAAACTCTATTATGGCGACCGTAAAAAATAAAATTGATGATGAGGGGCAAGGAATAAAAAGTTATATTCTAATTCCAATTATGACACCCTGTAGAAGTGAAAAAATGCTAATTGTGAAAAGCCATTTATTTATAAGTCCTGCCACAAATACAGTGAAAAAAATAGGAACTGTATGGGTAAACATTCGCTTTATCAGGATTGTATGTGTTTCTGTAGTTGCCTAAATGCCTAACTTTTCCCCCTGTTTAACTCATTTTCTATTATAGGGCTTTAATTTTTATAAATAAACCTAAAACATTAATATTCCTTCTCCTTAAAACGGTGTTAGTTAAGCTAGCTCGGTACCTCTTATATGAAAATAAATAAACTTATTGGGCACTGGCCTGAAACTGTTCAGTTGCCATATTTTTACGCCAAAATTCTATGTATTAATTACAGGGATGGAACTAAAAAATACAGTTTGATGTTTATGTACAAATAGAATTTTTCGTATTTAAATTCATATCAATGTACCAAGTATATCGGTAGCATTTATGATACTTCTTCGAACCTTACATGATTCAATGTCGATAACGAAAACATGGTTGTTGTTCTCCATTTCAATGGTTTCTGAGAAAATGCCGGATTGAGTCACACCCTGTATATTATTCGTACAAACATTTATATACGTAATATACTTTAACAAACCACACCAGAGTTTGTTTAGTGGCTTCCTTCGCGGTGGTATCAGTAAACATGATGCGAGTTTCATGCTCAATTTTCGTACTCTTTGCCCTCTTTATAGAGGCTTACCCTTACCCTACAGCAGGTGAGTACATATGTCACTTTCTAAATATACCAAGATCGATACTAAAATATAGACTTGACAAATCTATAGTAACTTGAAGGTGGAATTATTTTCATAATGTAAATCGTCTTCTCTTGATAGACATGCTATGTTAGATTTTCAAGCACATATGGTACCTCGAAGACTTATGTATACCTACTATATCAGTCAATACTCAATAATGGAATGTTTATAGTATATGCTTTTTAAAAATCAATTAAACGAATGTGTAGTTAATGGTACATCTAAAATCCACTTTCAAAAAAGATATTTTTAGATATTCTTCAACATATCCTCACAGGCCTGCTTTTGAAAGAGAAAAGTAATGACCATTTGCAACCTTGTCTTAATTGGGCTTAGAAAAATTATATCGCAGATACAACTGCTTTTGGAGCCCTGATGTGTAATAATCAAAGGCATTCTTTTTATCTATTTCAATCCTCCCAATATTATGTTGCCAACTTTCCCAAGTAAACAACTCTGTAATCAATGAAGTTGTACATAAAAGTTGTGACCTTAATGTGAGTCAAGTTCAGCAGCCATTCGATACAGATAAAATAAACACATACGATTTTAATAGATATTTTTCCATCCAAGTAAATCACAAATAAGTTGAACTTGACATGCTCCAGATATGATTATTTTTTCCGAGATTGATGTTATTCGCTTCATCTGGTCTACAAAATATTTGATCTAGTCAAACCCCAGACTAAATCGTTTTTCATAAACAAAAAACACGTAGTTTTGAAGATTGTGTAAGTCAAATTGAAATTGTTCATATCATTGTCTAATTGAGATTTACGTAACAGATGTAGCTAAAATTAATCAACCTATAAAAATAGTTGCTAGGTACAATAAAAAATGCTGCAAATGCATACTTATATATTTACCGCATTCGAAGCTCCAAAATTGCTCCAAAGAGCTATTTTTATGTCTTATAAACGAGTGTTGTGCCTCTTTCAGTTTTAGGAGAGCAATTTTTGTGCGCAAGTAGATGGGAATCTGGCGATCGTTTTCGTGGTTTCGGGTGGCGATTGTCTGGTTTTCATCTGCTTTCATTTGCTTTCCCTTTTGTCTGCCTCCACCACTCGACTTTAAACCGCACTGATGAGTTGCTAATGTGCACGAAACAGCGCTGGTTGGACATGGTTACAAGAGACGGAAAGCAAAAATGTCGTTTTCGGTAAAGCAGTTTTTGTTGAAAGTGATTGGAAAGTTTAATAAAAGCAAAGAAAGTATAGTTCCTTTCACGGTTTTTGGCGTTTACGTCATCAATGTCAAACCTAGGGGATAACCTGGCGGTAAGAGTCAAAAACCAAATTCCAAATTATATTTCGGCAACTCTACCTCTACAGTATATTCAGATAAGAGATAGACCGGACATAAACAAGACCACGTGATCATCGAACGCTGTAACATTCGGCAGGGACGTATTAAGAGTCACGCAGTACATATTTTAGATAGTAGATGCTGCTTTGCGTAACTTTGTAGTAAATTAGCACAATTCGATGTGTATACGATTGGTGATGGATATAGGATCATGTGGGGGTGGGGTAAGAAATATATAATGATGTAAATATACATAAGGGTTTCAAAATTTTCGCTTCGATTTCCAGCTTCGGATGCCGCCTGATGTTTGGTGAAATACAGTCGAATATAATCTCAAAATGGCGTTTAAATTAGCCTAAATTAAAAATAATCGTATATCTCTTAAAATTGCTTTTAGAATATTGATTAGTATATTTTTTGATTTCTAGGTAAATATGTAACCAAATTAAAACGTTCAAAACGTAAAAAAATGTGCATGGTTGAACATTGTCAGAAAGTAGATTCTTGAATAGGTTTTGCCAAAATGGGTTCAAAAATGTCAATAATTAATTAAAAAATACAGTAGCTTTATAATTACTTATAACTTACCGAATTTGATGAACGACATCTTTTATTGGAAAGATGAGCTTGATGAGCTTTCATCATCGCTACTGCCTGAAGCACCAACGTCAATAATGAATGGCTCGACTTGTTCCTCTAAAATATTGTCCAGTTCCCACATTCTCTTTTCAACTTTGTCTTTCACGTGCTTAATACAGTTTTCCCATTTTTGCGCTGTTATTAATTCTAGTGCTTCTTTGAAAAGTCCTTTGAGGTCACAAAATTTAAAAGTTGTATTGTGCTTAGCTATATAATTTTTAACCTCTGCCCATATGAGCTCAATGGGATTGAGCTCGCAATGGTATGGAGGTAAACGCATCACAGTTTTATTTTGACTTGCTGCCATTTCGTCAATGGCGTATTTTTGATATTCCGCCTTGTGATCCTTGACAATTCTTCATAATTGTACTTTCAGCATTGCTTCTTCAAAGTTGATATTTTTCGAGCGGAGCCAATTTTGAACACCAACCTTCCTTGAAGCCGTTGTTGGGACCTTCTCCATTCTTCGAGAATGATAAGGCGCATTATCCAACACAATTACTGCGTTTTCCTCTAAGTTCGGTAAAATTTTTGAAAACCACTGTTCAAACGATTCGCCATTCATTTCCTCGTGGTAATCTCCAGTTTTCTTAGACTCAAAGCACCACAGACCGTCAACAACAAATCCATCCTCACTGCCAATATGGCAGATAATGAGCCTTTTCCCTTTACCTGGAAATCGAAGTACTAACTGGTGTAGATTTATTTCAATAAGCGAACCTTTTTCAAATGTTTTCATCACATTCAGCGAAAAAACATTGAGACATGAGTATCAGATTGCTATAATTGGGATTATTTAGTCATATTGAAAGAAAGAATATTGAACGTCGTATGATTACTCAGCGCTTCACAATTTAATTTAAAGTTATAAACCTTTAAAAAATGAATGATCAGGAACCTGAAATACGCGCAAATATTAATATTAACAAATTATAACTTTATAAAGCTTAAAGTATGAATTAAAATGATTAGAAATATTAGAAACGGTACACAATATAAAACTTAGTAACTTTTTTTAAGTTTATAATATTCGACATATTTTAAGATTATATTCAAAAATTATTGAAATATCGAAAACACATAAAAACATGGCTTAAAAAAGTTCTAACAAATGAAAATGACAATAAAACATCCACGCATTTTATCGAAAGTTATAAAAGTTTTGTTACTTGTAATATGTTTTATCTGCCCCCTGGAATTAATGTTTAGAACCTTGTTCCCAAGGTTTGAAAAACATCCGATTGTTGTCTATTACTCGTATTTACCTGCTGGATTTTTTAATCCGGTGGACAGTCCATCTAGAAAGGCCCTCCTGGATGAAGTTACAGAATCATCAACCCATACTTTACTTGTAGTGTGTCCTGCGTTTACCCACGTTTCATCAAGGTAATAAATCTTCCTGTTTTGATTTCTATATTTCCCAATTTTTGTTAAATAATCCCTCCTCCATAGCACAATTTCTTCTCTATCCAGTAGTAAACTATTACGACCCCGTTTTTTCCATTTGAAATTTAAATGCTTCAGTAACGCATGGAAAGTTGATCGTTTGATATTTGGCAATGTTGTATCTACATTTACCTCCTGCAGTACTTTATCTATAGTAGGTATTTCATTCCTAAAGAAGAATTCATGCACTTTCCTCCTAATCGCATGCTTATCAGCTTCATCCAATGATTTAACAATACTTTTGCGATGTTTACTGGTCATTGGCTCAGAAAAGGTGTGATTTGTTTTGTATTGTCTTAACACATTAAACACTGATGCGCGACACACCCCAACTTTGTGAGAAACCTTCACAACAATTTCTTTGATGGTTGATGCCTCGTTCTCCTCGCGCTCGATCTTATATATATTCAAAATGACCTCTTTCATTTCTGCACTCAGGTGTCTTTTTTTAGAGCGTTTCCTAGGTGGACTACAGGAGTTTACAACTTCATCGGCAGTATCTGTACTACTGGGCATTTTGCGCAAGCAGTTGATAACAATAACAATCAATAACAAGGTATAACAATAACAACGACAAACTCAACAACTTAATAAGATAACAAACGAAAACGTCCAAAGAAATATCAAATTGCAATGATGCACACGACATACGTAACACGTCTGAACCTGAATGTGACTCTGCCTTGATACGACTGCTCTGCCGCCCGGCATAGGCATTTAATTGCGAATTGACCAATGAGGGCTCCTGTTTTACGTCGAGACGGCGGCGTTAGCGTGAAAATCACCCGAACCTTTTGTTTACATCCGGTCTATCTCTTATCTGAATATACTTGTAGGCCTCGGAATTAAATTTGATCATCAAAGTTCGGCTCTACAAGATGCTTACAAGACCAGCCATCACTTATGCGTGTGCGGCTTGGTGTTTTCTCGCCAAAACGCATTTGCGTAGTCTGCAGGTCTAGCAGAACAAAGCCTTGCGCACAATCACTAACACACCATGGTATGACTCCAATGAGACTCTTCACAGAGACCTCGTCATCCCTTAGTATATCAAACAAGCGCAGTTACGTTATAGTCAAGCGAAATCTCACAGCAACCCTTTGTTGCATGAATCATTAGACTACACAATCCAGCAAGTGCGTAGGCACACAAAATCGCGGTTCACAGTGTGCACGAAACTCAATCGTGCCACTTTAGATTTAACCAGAATTACAACGTTTCTTCAGCAACCAACTTCTAAATTAATTTTAGATGAATTTAAAATTCCCGAATACTAGTCAACAATCCCAAGGCACTCCTCAAACTGACGCACTTCCTCCTCTTTGCTCTACCTCCTTCCTTTCTCTTTTCTTCCCTTCTTTATCACTGACTTTGTCTGGTATTTGGGCATCCAGACCAGACTTGACTCGCTATACTTTAACCAAGGCTAAAGGTTCTACGAACCGCTCTGGCAGACAATGACGAATAGAAGGAAAATAAGTAATCAGTGCCATACGAAATAAGTAAGCACATCGACTAACTCAATCATGTGGGGAGCTGCAGTTTGATAAGAAAATTGCACACTGGGCAAATCAATCCTAAACGCAGCTGCTCTTGTACACATGAATAAGTAAATAAAAGACCATTGGTAAGCTCAAAATGGTCTGCGCACAGAGACATATTGCATATTATAACGCCCTCGTACCTGGAACAGTGAGGCACCTTCGTAACATCGACTCTTAGGCAACCAATTATGCAATCTACCACTATCGCGAAGCATCGAACGTCATCCAGCAAGCTTTTATAGCCTCGCGTGCTGTCTGAAAGGCTCTGAACTGGTCGATTTGAAATAACTAGGCGCTGGATGGCAGAATTGGGGAGTCGTCGATGAGTCATCAACAGTGCCAGAAACGGTAGTCCAGTCGACATGGTAAAAATTTGTGAGAAATCGATTGAAGGTATTATAAATTAGTGTAAGAGTGATAAATCAGACTTTAAATAGTGAAAATAGTGTTTTCCTTACAATATGTATATGGGAGATGTATGTATAAAAGTGATGCTGGTAGTTTTAGTGTGACCCGCCAAAAACTGTGGAATGAACTATACTTCCGCAACATCACGCAATTCAAATATTCTGTCACCAGATGTGTGAGATAATCGACACTATGTTTTAGCTTGTAAGTGTTTCTAGTTTATCTCATTTTTTCTAGCAGTTCCTGGCGTGAAACAATGTTTCAAGCATACTTGTCCCTCGAACACTTATGCCTGTGAAAAGAGGGCAAAAATTAGCGAAGACAAGAAATACATTGTATCAGAGGTTAAGTGTCTTGGATCGAGAGGTGAGTAATGGTATTTTTGATATAAGTATATTCGATTATTCCTAGAAAATTAATGACGAATTCTGTGCCAGAAATGCAATGAAAATGGTGCTAGTTATGAGTTCACGAGTTCATCTATTATTGCACTCACCATATAATATTACATGCCCCTTCATATCCAACAACCATACAGGAAGTACCATGTTCATTTCCACCTTTTTCAATCCACCTAAGCTCTCTGTCTGTAGATGGTTATCATAGAACGTACTAGAATTTAATAAACGATAACACCAAACACTTTTAAGACGTATTGTTAACTTTATTATGTATTGTTAATAGTATTTTATAAGTTGTCTCATGTGTAACCATGAGTGCCCCCAGCAGTTTTTCTCAGGAGGCCCGATTATCCGCAACTCACTTTTTGAGAGATTCTGCCTGCCAAAACTTTTTGAAGAGCGGGAGATAGCAAATTTTCCCAGAATTATGAATATGCACATTTTAAGGTCCAACGACATTCCCAGGCGGGGCCACGTCGCCTCTGGCCTCCCGTAACCCTCTGATAAAAGTGTAACAAAAAAGAGAATCATATCCTAGGCTTCTGATTATTGAATATTATCATCAGAACAATTTTACAAGTAAAATTTCAGTAAAAAAGCCATCCCTTTCAAATTCAAATCCATAGAATATCTTTTAAATTCTTAAACATTCTCTCAATTTCATTGAGAAAGTTCAAAATGCAAGAATATAAATGTCCTATTTCGTTTCGGCTGCTCACTGCTATGCAATTTCTGAGACGTAGAATAATTGATACCACCATTAGATAAAAATTATGTTCTGTTGACGAGATACTAGCAAAATAACTATCTTTGCATTGTATGTAAATTTCTAATTAGATGTGTGTATAATTATTGCAGAAATCATGCACTTTAACTAATGTTCTTCGTGCTGTTTGTATTGTTTGCGCCATAAGCTGCTTGATAGCTACATTAGTATTATTTTTGTAGTGGTGCACTGCAGCTTGACTTTGAGGTAGGATACAAACCTGATCAAGTGGAAATGCGACTCTGCTTGTTCTTGTCCCATGGGCAGACGAGTTGAATTTAAAGATATGAAATATTGGGGACGCTGCCAGTATCAGACTACGAAGCTTGTAAATTAAGTGATGAGATAATTTCTTTATTCAAATATAACAAGTTTATATTGTCACCCTCAAAACAAATTCCTTTTGCAGCCACACAGAGCTGGAGACGGTTCTTCCACTCCTCATGGCAGTCCTGGAACTCAGTTAATGGAATATCCGTTTGAATGTTTTCGACTGTGCCAAAATGAGTTTCCTAGAGGTGATTTTTCAACTTCGGGGAAAGAAAAAGTCACAAGGACTCAAGTCAGATGAATAAGGAGGCGGAGGAGCCACACGAATGTTTTTACTGTCCAAAAACTCTGTGTGACAAGGAGCATTATCATGATGCAACACCCAGTTGTTCTTGATTTGATGAACGGTGGTGTGAGTCAAATTTAAATCTTCCACCGACGATCTGAATGCATACGATCCCGGTTTCTGTCGATATTTTCATCGGTTCTTGAAGATGAAGGCCTTCCGCTTCGTGGTGCATCTTCAGTCGACTCCGGCGACCTGGTCTCTCATCAAAACATTATCTCTGTAGGAATGTTTAGAAAGACTTTCCGTTGTACTATGCCCAAGTCTGAAGCAAAACCTGATAGCACACCGTTGCTTGAAATTGATGTCACTCATTTTTAGAACACAATAGAAAAAAGTTTCACAAAAAAAATCGCTACAGTTAAGAAAATGACTCGAATGAGCTCAACTTGTACTGGAGGCGAACCACATGTGCCCCTGTCTTCCCGGCACCTCCAGTGTTGCAGACCGAACACTACGTTGACAGTCTTATCGCTTAATTTACAGACCTCGTATATGCTATTCGTTGTTGTTTCTCAGGACGACATTGGTTCTTCGTTAAAAGTCTCGAAGAACTGTTAGAATATCAGTCTTAGATAAAGAAGGATCGGTTTTCTACTCCGAGCATTGTTTGATGTTTGTCAGCTTCTTCAGAAATAAGAAACGTGGGTTTAGTATATGTGACTGACAAATTATCGTTTGTATAAAGGTGTTACTACTCAATGTAAAAAGTTCTATGTTACTGCATTACCTATGAGTGGTTCCCAATATGTCACATCTTTCCATTTCATTTTTATATAGTATGGTATGTATGGTGTTTCCAAAAATCTGACACGGAAATTACTTGTTTTTTCTTAAAGTTAAACCGGGCTGGGATGTGATACTCAATAAAAAAAATTCCAAATTTTCACTTTCCAATCGCATACCTCTTTACGTTGCGGTGTCACAACAGTAAAATGGCGCCCAAAAAATGACAGTTACATCTTCGTTCCAAATAACTATGGTAAATAAAAACATTCCTACGATCTGGGTCTTTAGTATTTTTTAAAATGTACAGAGCATTAGACGAAATTGTTTATAGGTTCAACCATGTGGTAATTTTAGCTGCAATGATCCATTTTTTATAGATTTAGACTCCCTCCTTTCAAATGTTTACGTTATTCAACTCGCACAATCATTTTGCAAAGATCGCTGCCAAAATGTGGCATTTTCTGTTGTACCACTGCTTTCACGAAGTATTTCGATTTTCTGGCTCAGTTTCCCGGATTCTATTGAACAAAAAAAGTAAATAAACAAACTTGATACAGCCCTTGCAAATGCAAGTACAATAAGTATCTATAAAATAAACTGTAAGAAGATATGAGGAATCATAACGAAAAGTCCATGTGTTGACCTTTCCTTAAAGCGTTAAGCAAAATTCTTTAGTTCAACATTCATAATCTGATGATATGTGAAAGAGTAAGGCTTACCGAAAGATTTTGCGACATAGAATGAGGCCATGTTTTCGTACGACGAGACACTGAAAAGTATCATTCTATACATTTAGTAAATTTAATGCAACAGGTAGACAAACCTTATAACGATGGTCGTAATTTTACCCGACGCACAAATGTCGAACTAACAGTTTATGTCCAATAGCTAATCAAGTAGTCATTTCCAGTACATGATTAACTATTCCTCGATATCTACATCAGGTTATAGTCAACAAATGACTATAAGTTCAGTATCATTAAGCAACTTTTCAAAACATTTTTTTGCAAACTTTCGCTTTGTTTTGTACAAGTTATTCGTGTTCGATTTGTTGACATGCCTTTTACTTTCAAGAATAAATGTCAAATTGATTGTGTTGCAGACATGGTACTGAAGACATTCAGGGAGCAGCAAGACAACATTTTCAGCCCTGGTACAGACTTCCAAAGTTACTCGTATGCCGGATCTTGGACGTTAACAGCTGATGATTCTGATGAAGATTTTCCAAAAGCAGGAAGTAATTACGGCGGTACCTTGGGCGTTACGGAAGGCAGAGACACCGAAATCGTTGACACTAACTTGATCGATTCTGACAAGCATTTCAGGGCTAGCACTGCTAGTGAAATTGACGATTTGAATTCTTAGAAGTAATAAAGTCTTCTATGTGTTTATATGCGTTATTCCTTATGTGTGAGTGTGATTTGACGATACCCTTGCGAAATTTTGAACGGATGAGAAATATAATTGTTACTTAGAATAGGAGTGTGTCAATAAAAAATGAAAACTGTAGGATACTTCCAGCTTAATTATGAGTAGTTAATTATTATTACGATAATGTAGTTAATATGTGATTATTAAATAATGGACTCTAAAATATTTTTAATGCCAACTTTTCATCACAATATTCCATTATTGTTAACATATTTATATCTATTATAAAATTATGGACATACATAGTAAACAGAATTGAAAATGTGATCAACTATTTTTTTTAAATAAAATAATGTATTGAAACTGCCTATTTATTACGTCAACTATATTGTGTATTGTTTCTAAAATATTTAAGAGAGCCTTCTTCTTCGTCCATGTAAGCATCTTAGTGGTGAAGTTTTTCGAACTTGAAATAATTCAGTTTTGAATGGACGGATAAAGTTTGAAGACGTTTTTGTTCAATACCAGGTTATGAGGAAATCCGTTTATTTGCGAAAAAATAACTAACAGATACAAAGCTTTTACTCTTTTAGGGTAACGCCGCGTATATTAAACATGTTCTAATAAAATTTTGCGTTTATTAGTTTAGGGTATAATTATTAGAAGTCATGGATTCAAAAATGTTTTAATCCCCCAAAGCTCCAAAGGTGTTGTGATTTTTTTTTACTTCTTACACCTACTGGCGAGGAAGTATTGTAGTCGCGAAAATTTTTAAAAATTAGATGTGTTTTTTGGATCTTATATGATATGTATGCCACGAAAAACCATGTCACTCATTTCCGTTGGTCTGTCTGTGTGTCCGTCTGTAAGCCAGTCTTTGAACTGCCTATGACTAGGAAGGTACTGCTGTGATTTGGATGAAATTTCCACAGAAGGTTACTACAATGCCCAGGACAAAAAAGCTTTGTAGTTTTTGAAAATCGCAATGGTGACGTCGAAGCTGACGTGACGTTTCAGAGGCTCCTTATAGTTTTTAGAAATAATTTTGTGGTGGCTGAAAATCGGGGGATGGGGTTGTAGTGGTTGGAGGAAGTCATATCTCATTTTGTTGGTGGCAGCATATTTATAGGCTTCCAACCCCAGCAATTTTACGTATCAGTACCATACTTCATACATCAAATATTTTCCGTACATTTGATCTTATAACTTAGAGGAATATAGATCTTCAAGTAAGTAATAACTTCGATTACACATAAAGCAGGTACATGCACTGTGTAATCAGTGAATAATCAGGATTAAATGATTCCAACATTTTGGTGTCCTACAGTTTACCTAGCATGAACATAATGAAATTCAATTCTTTTTTTTAGGTATGGTTTCTGAAAATTCATGGAGGGAGTAGAGAAATTGCTAATTGTAAATTTACATGATACATCGGTAATACCGACTATTTTTAGATTACTAACAACCTGCATAACTGTTATTTTTATGTATTTTATTGAAAAAATACACATTTTAAAAATAATATTAGATTGAGTCTTATTTTACTTAAAATATCGTGTATGTAATTTGAATATTTAGTTTAAATTTAGCTGCACAGTGTAAGAGGGAAGTCCAAAGATGGCGCTAGGTATTCAATATTTGTAAACGGTTCTATAATAGTTCGTATAGGTTTTATAAAAAGTTCGGAGTATATCCCAGCGATGGCGCTACAAACCGTAGAATTATAGATTCCCTTATAAAGTAGGTGTTATGTATTCACAACGTGTCCATCAGCTACCGCTAAGTCAACATCTTGTAGAAAAACCTACATGATATCAAAAAAAAATCGATAATGTCAAGATACGTAAACGTAATACCCATACGGATCACAAATTATGAAACACCAGTCTATAAAATTAAGGCTGCATTTCAAAAAAAAAATCGTTGTTTGCTGTGCCAATATTAAGCCATGAGACCATGTTTCATAATGTCAAACCATCGTCATCGATAACTACACATGGATGAGTTCATTCTTACGAATGCATTTAAACGATAGCAAACATTTTAAAAACTGATTCATACGATTATTTCAAGACTATATCGCCATATGAATATTTTCCAAGTACTGCTTCACTGATTTGTTTCAGATATAGAGTGATGCCACTGGAAATTGTCTTTGTTTGACAGTATATGTAGTTACTAGTTCAGGCTCAGGCCTCTTATAATGATATCGATGGAAAACATCTTATTTTGTTCACCATGGGCGGACTAGACCTAATGCACAATTGATAATGTTTTAACACCTGCATTATAATAAATAATATTTTTGAAAGCCCCATCCTTTATCTGAAAAAATATATCCTTGTCTCTTTTCGATGAATTAAAACGCATAGTTTGGAAACACCCTGAATATGTAATGTATGGTTTGGTGCAATAACTCAATGGCTCACCGTGTTTCTAACGTATACTAGATATGCATTATGCAAATTTAAAACATATGAGAATCATGATTGAATAATAATATTTCGTTTCAACCAGCTATGTAGCTTGAGAACATTCTAGTACACCAACGATGTTTTTATTTGTGCCAAGTGCGTTGTGTCCAATTCCAAGTCATCTATTCCAGCTTATTTACATACATCATTACACTTGCCAACCTGATTACCGCGGACAACAATTAAATAAACATGATAAACTCTGATCACCCGTTTTCAGAATTGGATCGGTTAAGCCAGGCCCGTAGTCGAGACTTTTCTTAGATATTGCAAACAATTTAACTATCGAGAAATAGGGTATTCGACTACTTCATTCGGAATCAGTCTAGTCTTAACCTTTGTATAACTTCGAATTGTTATTAAAAAAGTTATCAATGCCGGGAAGTCTCGATGATCGGAGCTTGCATCACATGAGAATGTTTGAATAAATACCATTATCTATGCACATACGTGCCTGTATTGACCCGATACATCTCTGATAACTATATTGCGACACACTTCTCATATTATCTCAGAACCAAGTATCAGAGTCTTACATGTTACATGTAAAAATATCAATTAGTATTCTGCACATTCTTGCATTGGGCTGAACAAAACACTTCTACTATAATGAAGACGGTGGTGGTTTTGTACTTAACTTTGTTTTTTATTTATTGCATGTGCATTAGCAGCTCGTTAGCATATCCAAGTAAGTATGACGATTTTAATTGGTACTTTTTCCTTCGGATGGTATACAGTTAAGTATGTGAAATAGTGATTTATTAGAGCAAAATACACGCCTTCGTAAAATTAAACTCGCATCAGTTTCAAATATCTAGAATGAAACTGAAATTGTTGCTGTAGCTGTACTAAGCTAATCACAACATTATCAGAATTTAGGAATAAGTATAGCAATAATTGTTCTTGGAGTGTTTAATGAACTATCCGTGAAATTGGAAAATCTACAATTTTCACAAATTTATCAGCAAAGGACTGCCAGGACACGTAACGTGGCTATTCAACATCTTAAAGTTTTTCTGAAGAGCATTTAAAAATATGGTGAATGAACCAGCAATATAAGATACTGTGTGGAGTATTTCGTATGTCTGTATACATCTGCATACGTAATCATGAGAAATTCCTAATTCAATTCACACACTACTTTACATACGTAAGTGCGATTCTCCACAACAATTCCTTTTTTTATTGATTGCTCGTCAGGGGAACTTAAAATCGAGTGAATCAAATCCGTTCTTCTATTTCGTTGCCACTAGTCATAAAGAGTCCGGAAAGGTTCAGGTTCCCTTGAATTATTTATTACGTTTCTAGAAAAAGGGTGATTTTTTATATTTTTCCAAAGATACCCGAAAAAGTTGATAATTGTAATCAACTTTGAGCTCCTAACTTGGAAAATTTATCTCTCCCTACAGGAGGACTCACAAATACTTGACAAGGTATATATTTTTAAATGAACATATTTTAGTGCTCTCTAAAAGACAAAGTTTGAAATAGTATACAATATGATTTGGATCATTACTGGAGCTACGGGATATTTTATCCGGAAAAAACTTTAACAGCTTGTAAATTAGTGACTAGTTTCCCGTCACCGAAACGTTTCCTGTCACACCCCGTGCATCGTCTATACATAGTGTTTATGCACAAAACATGTACCTTTTATCAATCAATTCAAATTTGAGCACCTTGTATATTTTTACGATTTTTAATTATATGCTTTATTTGGGTATACAATTTTTTGAAGAGTTAAGTAACCAAATTTTTGAGTTCCATTTTTCGTGAAATTACATTTCAAAATATATAAATACTGCATAATCTGTGGAGAGGAAGAATTCTTGCTGGATAGGTACAAGCCTTCTTTAAAATTACTTTTGGCGGAAAAATCGCATGTAAATTCCCCTAGTACAACGATGAAACAGATTTTAGTGCTCAGCGGCAGCAGGTGTTGCCACGTACCCTTCCAGCGGCCGCAGATATTATTTGCAATCGTAAAAATTATATCGTTTCATCGGTGATTGTTACCTAAACTGAGGAAATACTATGAGATATGAAGCTTATTTTGTCTAAAGGTTTAGTACTTTCTCAACACAAGGTCACCGACTTAGAATTGTCGCAGATGAGTGATATTACAGATAAAATATCCGGTAGCCCCAGAAACAGTTATGCAAACCCTTATAGTATGCTATATCAAGCTTCTTCCTTTGAAGGGGTTTTTTAAAATACTACTACTAAAAAAATATAGAGGATACTTCATTTAAAAAAATGTAAGTTTGACTAGTCACGTAATTATGAATCACCTTGTAGCGACATATTTTCCTAGTTGGAACAGGTTCAACAATTTTAGTAACTAGCTTTTCTGACTATTATCTTTTAAAATAAATAAGCTATCGACCAATTACACACTTAAATCTCAGTTAGTATGTGATGTTCTGAAATTATCTTTTTCATACAGCTTGGATCAAAATACATATCTAACATAGCTGTGATTTTAGGTAATGGAGAAAGTCCTACTTGTTATGGTCAAGTTTGTCCGGAAGGCACAACAAGTTGCAAGAAAAACATTAGGTCCTCTTTAAACAGGAGAAACTTGGAAATAAGAATCAACTGCTTAGATGACTTCGGTGAGTGAATCATTTTTTATCTACATTACAGATTCATACAATCGTGAGTTGTACTAAAGTACCATATATGTGTTCAGTCCTTTGGGAGTATAATAACTTCGGACCTGATTATAGGAGCATTTGTTTCCAAATTTATCACTTCGAGGGTGTCGCTTACAGGTTAAAACGTTAAAGGATCAGGGTCCATAAGCCGGTTCTTTAGCCCTGAAAATAACTCAGATTTCAGGCTGGCCACATCTATGTTTCTGCGGGTAAATATTACAGAACATATTTTCAACAAAATTTTCCTTTTCAGTCTTAGTTTAATAGTCCAAAGTTTGAAAATTTGACATTTTTGTCATAAATACACCATTTTAGAATATTATACCATAATTTCTGACTTCCTACTTCAAATCTGTAACAAAGTCCACTGAGACCCAAAGCATATAAGAAAAAGCTTTACTGTGTAAATAGTAAATACAAAAGTTGAAACAAATGGATGTACTTCTGTATGTTATGTGTATGTATTTATGTATGTATGTATTTATGTATGTATGTATTTATGTATGTATGTATGCATGTATGTACCTATATACCCAGAAAAGCTCTTCCCCGGGGCACAAGCAAAACGGCTTGATGAATTTTGACATATGAAGTGTCATTGGCCCTTCCCTAGCAGTGCGCGTGACATTGGCTATATTAAAATATTATAAAAACAAAATGGCGGATTTGTGAAATTCCTATTTCACAGCCTAGACGGCTTGATGTATTTTGATATATGAGGTGTTGTTGGACTTGTCTTGCATTGTGTTGTGTCTCCGTGTGTTTTACTATAGATTTAAATTTGTGACCATGCGCGCATGTAAAAATAATAATCTAAATTTTCAAATTTTATACAAAATGCAAAAATTGCAAACGGTGGGCTGGTGTGGTATAATCAGGTGCTAAAATAAAAAAAAATGTTGGTGAAGGCTTAAAATACACATATTCTGGAATATTTAAATGCAAAAATTACATAGATGCGATCAACTTGGAGTTTGACTTATTTTCAGGGCTAGAAAACCCGCTTATGGACCCTAATCATTTTATTATCTTATCTTGACATCATCCATTGTATTTTTAGATGGAAGCTTAAAGGAATATTACTTCGAAGAGGTCAACAATATGGATCCAAATGTACACTATGAAAGTTCTTCTTATTCTGGAACAAACGAGGATAGTGCCAAAAATAAAGCTAGCTATAACAGACCATACGTTAGCTACAACGGACTGGAAGACCTATATTGATCTTTGCTAAACAGCTTTGAAATATCAAATTATAATATTGAAACTTTAATTTCAATAAGACCCTAATAGCACACTTTCTTTCTGGAACGTCCGACTTAGATCAAAATTCGATGTCCTCGGATCCTCGCATTGGTGTGGTTCCTGGAACGTCTCAATCTTTTTGTTCCGAGGTCGTCCGAAAAAGACGCATTTTGGGCATTTTGTTCTCTAGTCGTTACCAAACTTTTTATTTTAAGGTCATGAAATTGAAGGCAGTCACGATATATAGGTGTTGCACATAATGGTTATGCTTATTTCATTTTTAGGAAATCTGCAATCTACATAACCGTTTCCCTATTATACGGAATAATGTATATGGATGTCTTCGTCTCTCTGATCCACTGTTTCAATTGACTAATAAGATCACATATATCAAATTTAAAATATCTAAAGAAGTAAAAATTGCTGTGTAGTTTTTCCATTTTCTAATGTATTTTACACTTTGTGACTAGATACTTTGAAGTTAATTGAATTGACGCACACGGATTAGAGAGACGTTTCATTTGATAACAGAAATGCTATTATTGATGTTTTCATGTACACCGTGAATTGAACGCTTCACTTTTATTTAAATTAGTATTATTTAGAGAGGGTTTTATTAAGGTTTCGCCCATTGCCCCAATTGGAATAAGTGATTTTTGAGAACTTAGAGAATTTGTCCTTGAGGCGTCCTTGAAATGACCTTCGAATGCCCTTATAGTGAAATGCCCTAAATATGACCTTGAAGTCACCTCATAGAGAGACAAACCCGAGATTTGAAATCAGGGATCCTAAAAACCTTATTGTACTAAAAATCGCATTAATACCGGAAAAATTGTATTTTTTGTCAGCTTTCCCACTGTTCTAGACCACTGCGCATCTCCCAGGTCACACAGGGTCGTTCCTCGAGCGTACTTGGAACGTATTTAGGCTATTAGGGTAGATGCTGATATGCTCTAGATAGATTCTACAGTTACTGTGATATAACTGATCCAAGCAGAACAATTCCTGGCCAAATTCGTTGAAAAAATTAGTATATATTTTGAGACGCTTTTAACATACTGTATTTTCCTGTTCGAAAAAGTAAAATATATTTTTTAAGTCTTATTCTGGTTTATTTTTATAATACTTACACTCGCTTGGACCATTGACCATTTTTTCTGTTTCTTGTGTAAGTATAAATATATATATATAAATTTGGAGGTGTGTATGATTTTTCATCCTGCTTCTTGTAAATACTACGCATATAAATATATATACAGTTGAGTCATTTATTTTAACAGTGAGTAGATCTGATCAAAAGAAATGTTTTTTTCCTTTACCATTTTTCTGGTAAAATTAAAGTAACAAAGTTATAGCCCTTTGGAAGTTTGAGTACCGCCCTGTCTCAATAATAATATTATGTGCTCGTGTTTGGCAACAACGGATATAATCCGCCTCATCGGTTCATCGCATAGGAAACAAAAAGGCGAAAGAATTTGGAACGATGTTTTTACAATTATTTTATTCAGTTGTATTCAGTCAGTGTCAGTCGGTAATGCGTGAGTGAATAGTGGTGTCTGTTGCGTGGCTCAAACGAAATCAAAAATGGCACATGTTTACGAAAATGCTGAACTTGTGGACATGATTCTTATTTACGCGGCATCACGGATTTATGCGGATCGGTTTCCCAATCGAGTGCAACCAACCCCTCGTGCCTTTGTTAATGTAGTACAAAGGGCTCGTGAATCAGGTGACTTAAGACCTCACAGGGGAGGGCATGCCGGTGCTCCAAGACCGCACGATCAAATACAGGTCCGCACTGAAATACTTGTCGGGAGGATACTTTATAAAACAAGGTAAAATTTTTTTTTAATTTTTTTTTTATTTTTCCACACATATTTTGGTTTATCTTCCTTCTAAAATCATTATCTGAAAATTAATGACTCAACTTCAACAACTTCAAAGTCACCCTGTATATATATATATACACATGCGCTTTCGCTTATCACATCTCCTGATATCACTGGAAATTTGCAAGCTTTGCATTTTTTAGTATATGGAAGCTATAACTGAGGTTGAAGTTAATCAGATATTATGTTCATAACGTCTAAAGTATTCAAAATATATTAATTTCCTTCAAAAAACCTGTTAAAATTTACTTGACTTTTCCTTCAATAACAGCGACTACCTTGTGAATCCTAAGTTTTCTCTTTTGTTCTTAATAGCTGTTTTATTATATAAAAGGTGTACATTGTCATAAGGAAATATCGTGAAGTACAGCAATACGAGGTCTGTTAATTAAATAATGAGACTGGCAACATAGCGTTAGATCCAGCAACACATGAGGCGCCGGGCGTGGAGCGGAGACAGGGGAGCCGCCTTCAGTACAAATTTGAACTCAGCCATTTGGTTGTCGGTAGCAATTTTTTTTGTGAAACAGTGTTTTCTATTGTGTTCTAAAATAAGTGACACCAATTGCGAGCAACGGTGTGCTATCAGGTTTTGCTTCAGACTTGCTAAAATTCAGCAAGCCTACGGAGATAGTGTTTTGTGAAGCGCCCAGTTTTTATTGGTGGTTTAAGACGTTTTTAAAAGGGAGATTAAATATGAACCACAAAGCGGATGGCCTTCATCTCTAAGAACCGATGAAAATAACGACAGATATCCACAGAATCGTCCACAAAGGGTATCTACCTAAAGGCCAAACGGTCAATCAACACTTTCACAATGAGATTGTTCGAAAAAGGGTCACTCATGTGAGACCAAACATCAAGAACAAGCTTCTTGTCACAGAGCGATGTCAATAAACGAGTTTTTAGTCAGTAAAATGATTCCTATGGCCCTCAGCGTCCTTATTTGCCTGACTTTAGTCTTTGTAAGTTTTTTCTTTTCCCGAAATTGAAAACCCACCTCAGTCAAAAGCATCAAAACGGCTGTAACCGACCAACTGAAGGCTATTCCAGTATCGGAATTCCAGCATTGTCCAGCGCTGTGTGACCTCAGAAGGAATTTATTTTGAGCGTAAAAATAAAAAACTATAAATATACTTTTATATAAATCATTAAAAAAATCAGTCCAATTACTTATTTGCAGACCTCGTACTCTGCTCCACCTGTGCCGTGTTAAGATCTCTGTCACGGGGAATGATTCGGTGTTTGTGCCAAACAGATTTACACAATTTTCAGACTATAGCCATGCCCGTTTCTCCAGAATTAGATCATTGGGCAGTACAGAAGTATTTGTATACAGCAGACAGTGCCTTCTGAATAGTGGATCTATATCTAAATGAAGCAGCGAAAAAACTTAGACTGTCAAGAATATTTTTTTTCAAAAATGATCAGGATCCTCTGAAACGTTTGTGTGCTTTTAATTTTTTCCGTCTTTGGCCATTTTCTTTTCTCCGCTGCAACTGAACCACTTTTCAAAATGTACAAAGCATTTTCATCTTAGGCATAGTAAGTAACCTTGTGTGGAAATTTCATCAAAATCCGAACAGTAATTTCCAAGATAGCCCCGACAGCGTTAAATATTTTAAAAATATGTTTGTTAAATATTATAGCGACAGATTTAATGAATATATTTCTTATATATTCATAAAATATTCACTATAGATATTTGTAGTACTATGTGTATATATATATATATATACAGGGTGGCGCATCGAAAACGAAACAGACGCATTTACTGGCAGCTCAGTTTTTTTTTTGGAAAAACGCTCAGACCCGTCGATTTTGTTTGGCAAAAAATCACGTTAACACGTGCAGCCCCCTGGGCGGGGCACCCTAAAATCGTAAATGGAAAGGGGGGTCGAGTGATACCTTACTTTAAAGGTCTTTCAATTCCCTTTATAAAGATGTACAATACATGAGCTTCAGTTCAGTAGTTTTGAAGATTTATTGATTTAAAGCTTAAAGTAGATTTTAATAGGTACATCAGATTAGTTTGTACTACTTTCAGGAGAAATTTGACTAAAAGAATTTGCTTAATAAGTAAATGCTTTTCTTCACTACCCCATGATTTGTTTATCATTTTGTTGTTGAAAATAGCTATTGGAGCGTTTTTTTGTGGCAAAAAGTTATTTCTTGAAGAAAGATAAGGAAATATCTGGTACTTATTTTAAATAGGAAGTTAGTACATAGTTTGCGATTGATTTTTCCAAACTTTGTTGCTAAAATAACTTGTAACGCTTTATTACACAAATTAACCATGGTATATTCCACAGCAGAAAGAGTTGAAATTATCGAAATATTTTTCGGAAATAATCAGTGCGCTAATAGAACAGCAGAAATATTTAATGAGCGACATGAGAACAGTAATGTGCATCGAAAATATGTTCTAGAACTTGTAGCTAAATTTCGGGGTCAGTCGCCAATAAAAAACGCAACATTGAAAATCCAATAAGGAACGAAGCAATAGAAGTGGGGGTTTTAGGGCAAATTTATGTAGATCCTACGTTAAGTACCCGCAAATTGGAGACTGTGTGTGGTGTTAGTCGGGGTACTGTCCAACGGATTCTAAAGGTTCATAGTTTTCATCCGTATAAAATTCACTTGGTACAAGAACTTAATGAAGACGATTTTGATCGGCGATTACAATTTTGTGAAGATATGAGTGAACGAATTATAAACGATGAACATTTTCTATTCAACACTTGCTTGTCCGACGAATGTTCCTTTTTCTTAAGTGGCGTAGTAAATCGTCATAACTGCTAATATTGGTCCGATTCTAATCCCAGAATTTAACATGAGGTTCATACACAGCAGCCACAAAAATTAAATGTTTGGGCTGGTACTCTTGGCGATCATTTAGTTGGTCCTTTTTTCTTACCTGGAAATTTGACCGGTGAAATGTATTTGGAATTACTGGAAGACGCCATAGATCCTGCATTAACAGCCATAATTGAAAATCAGAATGATCGGCGGTACATTGCGAATAGGTTGATGTTCCAACAGGATGGTGCCCCACCACATTACGCATTACGTGTTTGACAATATTTAGATCAGACGTGTCCAGATCGATGGATTGGTAGAAGAGGTGCCATTGAATGTCCCCCAAGATCGCCAGATTTATCACCTTTGGATTTCTTTATGTGGGATCATTTAAAAAGCAAAATCTATGCTACTCAGCCAACATCATTAGAAGACCTGCGACAAAGAATTGTGAATGAGTGCCTTCAAATTACCCCTCAATTATTGCAAAATGTGCGGCAACGTTTTGAGCAAAATCTTTATTACTGCATGGAGAGTCATGATGGCCATTTTCAACATTTACTTGCCTAACGGGTCAGTTCATTCTTCATTTTTAAATTACTTTGCTGACATATGTATTGATCTCCACTAATGATAATGTATTAGTTTTATTTAAGCTTTAAATCAATAAATCTTCAAAGATACTGAAATGAATTACATTCATTTTATATAATTATAAAGAGAATTGAAAGACCTTTAAAATAAGGTATCACTTGACTCCCCTTTTCATTTAAGATTTTGGGGGTGGTGTCACCCCCGCTTAGGGGCCTCGAAAATAAAATCGACGGGACTGAGAGTTTTTCAAAAAAAAAACTGAGCTGCCAGTAAATGCGTCTGTTTCGTTTACGTTTTCGATGCGCCACCCTGTATATATATATATATATATATATATATATGGAAAGATTTTTAAATATCAATTTTACATTTTGATGGACTATCTAATATTTTTCATAAATATGTATGGATTTTTAAACATTAATCTGATACATATTTCCAGTGTATATAGAAAATTCGTCATTGGCTATTTTAGCAAAATCTATAGGAATGCTTTTATAAAATTGCGTTTATAAAGAAAATTCATTCTAGATTTAATGATTTAATTTGCTAGTGTATTTATGGGAATATAAAATGCAGTGGAATAATATTGGTGCTGAGCACTGCAGAGTTACTCCGAGCATCTTAACTGGGTCACTGAGAAAAGCAGCTCTATAAAGCACCTCAAAGGACCTCACATTTTCTTCCTATGAGAGTTCGAGATTTGGTTATTTTTTAAGAAAAGTTAGTATGTTATTTTAGATATCTTGATGAAAAATGTCCATGGGCACAACTTGATCCTTTGACGAACTTTCAAAGAAAAGGTTTTTAAAAATTGACCACTTATTGATTTTGTTGAAATGTAACTTTTTTGCAGTAGTAAGGGGGCTAATTTAGCCATAGCTATTTTGTCCAACCCAATCCCAAACAACTGTTACACTTCAAGGCTAGTTGTTTATGGTCTTGTAAATACCTTTATACTCAACTGGCACAGTAATGCTTACCAGTCAGATAAATCAAGCTATGTAATTATCGAAAAACTTACCTTTTTCCCTTTTCCACAAAACAGCACTAAGGCCCGTATCGTCAGTCGTCCCTACAATTGTAGGGCGCGTTTATGGCCTCCTTGATTGTCATACTCCTTTCTCTCCTTCAAAAATTTCTAGATTACACTTGTCCCGTGTCCGCGTCAGCGCTCTCCTATTGTGAAGATATGTTTTCTTGTTAAATTGTAGGAAATTTCAGGCTGATAAAACATAATATAACTCAAAAGCAAGCACAATTTGATGCAAATAGATGTTTGTGACATAACCTCAAAATAGAGCGCTGACATGGAGAAGTAGAAAACTATGACAATCAAGGAGGCCATAAAGGCGCCCTACAATTGTAGGGACGACTGACGATACGGGCCTTAAATAATGTAGTACTTGGAGGTATACAAGAAGCACGCTATCATAGTGGAACTCACAGGCAAAATTAATGCCGACAAACGGGTCGGCTCAGGTCGGCTTGACATTATGCCATTGGGCTCGGTTTTACACGCACATGCGCCTAAGCCGAAAATATTTAAGAGTTACCAGAAAGACCGACAGCCAGACCTACGGAAAAGAGTGACTTGGTTTTCCCTGATTTACGTATCATATGACACCTAAAAAGCATATTATCTCATTTTTGATTTTTTCGGGAATACAACACTTTCTTCTTTTACGTCATCGAATTTTCTTTCAACATCTATTGCAATTTTACATGAATCGCCTCTCTTAGGAAATGTCTCAGACCTTTTGAAGAAAATTTGGCTTGAATATTTGAGGTAAAATCAACATAAGAAACTTCAACCCGCTCTGATTTGAAAAGGTGGAATTTTACATTAAAAATTGCTTGTAGTGTTTTATCAAGGTAATCCAAAATTTTTTGATTGTACCTTCTGCCCTAGAAACATTCCCCGTTTTTCTGAATCACCCTGTCCTAGTCTATACAGGATTTCACACTTTTGCAGGTTTTTTCATTGTTTGAATTAGGATTAGATCTGCTTTACCTACTTTAAATATTCCGAGTGTTCTCCAAGCTCCTCGATAAACAATAAAAGTGTTACTGTAAAAGGAGGAAATCATGAGAGTATAACCACAAGTTTGCTTACGAAAGATAGCTTTATTTTTAAGTAGTTATCGTTGATCCTTAAAAAGGATATCACAGAATTGTATCTTACATTATACGTTTCATTGCATCACTTAAGAACTAAATACACGAAAAACGTTCAATGGCACTTACAAAAACACGTACAAAAAGTGTAACTTATACAAGGTAACTAACTTTACAAAATACATGACTAGTTGTAAGTATGAAACAAAAAATATTCTGGTGTTATGGCTTATGCACGATAACACTACTTTTAACACTACTAATAACATGCCTTTGGGTCAGTTGAGTGAAAATAAGTGATGCTTTAATCATAAAAAATCAAGTAAATACCTGTAAAATACCTATTTTCAGTCCAAAGATACTTGTCATTTTTGTAAGGCTTGCCAGACGGGCTGTTGTTGTATGAATCAATTAGATATATGTATGCGAAAACGTTACTGACAACAGTTATATACACGGTGTCCCGCGAGGTGAGGGATAACATTTTTCTGCGTGTTCCTCAGGTCAATGCGAGTCGAAAAAGTCATATGAACATGGGTCCGCAAATGCTTCGTTATCGAGATATAATTTTTTTTATTTTGGAAAAATGTTATCCCTTACCTCGCGGGACACCCTGTATGAGTGAAAAAAATGTGACCTCTGAAATTTCCGAATTGTGAAGGTTTCTGGTTGTTTGTAGTTTTTAGTCGTCACTTGTTTTTAATTACTGCTGCAATTGTCTAAGTTTTTTTCATTATATGAAGTCACAGTGGGATACTGTACTACTAAAAAAAAATATCTGATAGCAAAGCGCCAGGCGGAATAAGTATCATTAAACCTTTCAAATCAACACATGCAAGTAAAGCCCGACTTAAAGCATTAGAATTAGAGCAAGCAAGTCGCACTTTTATTCACTCCAATTTAGAAAAACTTGCAAGTAAGCTTTTTGCACTTTTTGTTATTCAACTGACCCTTTGTTGGCTGTTTCTATTTGATATCCCCTGGGTGTATTTGTATGTGTATGTCTGAAAAGCTTATACTCATCTTTAGAAACAACGGCAAAAATGTTTTTAAAAAGTAATTACTTCACATAGATACACGCTAAAGAAGGATATCAGAAATGCGAAATGAGAAAAGGTGACAAGAATATACCATTACCTGATGTGTGGAAGAGAAAGTAAAGGATTTTGAAAAAAACTGTATTTCGTATCAGTTTTGTTTGTCAATTGCACATATACATACATACGATTATATTCCAGAGAATGAATTAGGAATCCAAAGAAGAATAATAGGTAGACTAAAGTAATCAATTATACAGAATTAAGATCTCAGAATAGTTTTTCTGCTTTGGATTTCATCTTTGGTTCTACAATCTTAGCAACTACACTTAAAAGATCAGTAACAAAATACTTGCACGTTGTACAAAACTATTTTTCGTTCTTATTAAGCTTAATTTTAGAAACGCAGAAATGGCATATATCAACACTTCTTAAGAATGATATCCTTAGAAGTTAGGTTTTTAAATGTGAATTTTGATCGTTTAAAATAACTAACAGTAAAGTTCATAATATTAGGTAAGGGCCCAATATATAGCCGTTTGTTTACTTGAGGTCGCCTAAGGCAGCCTCATTTGAATTGACAGTTGACGGTGTTGTCAAACCTCTCATTGAATTTAAATTTCACTTCAACCAAACTGAGTAGGTCCGTGCATTCTTTCAATGTAATGAAATGAAGGAGGCTTGAAGGAATATATATATATATATATATATATAACTCTTTGTCACTAAGATCTGTCAAGACATATAAGATGTTTTTACACGGAAGGGTCAAGCGGGCAGGCTACACATTCGGCCCTAACATCCTACTATGGTTGGTCCAATCTTAAAAGATACTTTAGAGAAGTACATGAATCTTTCATCATTTACCTATCTATGCAAACACAATGCCCATGCCTGCAGATATATACAAACGTTATAATAAATATTCGGCGTTTACTTTAGAATATAAAATATTGCGTATTGGCTTTTATAAAACTTACAATATGTATTTTGTAATCAATGAATGTAGCCCGGCCTTATGCTTGTGACTTAGTCCTTTTTATATTCTTAGTATTGCATCTTCAACCTGAGCACACTTCTGAGTGTTCATCCCATGCGGACACCTGAAAAAGAGAAAACAATGTTTTAATCTACTGTAGCGTCCTCGTACACTATAACTTTCGACACGCTTAAAGAGGAATCGACTGCCATCTGCCAGCTTCGAATAAGAGTTCTAGAAAACGCTGGAGTGTATCGGTAACAGTCGAATGATCACATAAATACCTAGGTGCCGCCACCAGAGGGAGAATCGAGTCAGGAGACGATGAGTCAGCATCGCCCGACGCGATAGTTCCGTCGATATGGTCATAAATTTGTCATAAATTAGTTTTGGTATAAATTAGTGGGGGATTAATAAATTAGGTTTCCCTTGGGTCATACTTTAATCAACAATCATTCCTTAGTCGGGTAATACAAAGAATTTAAATAGGTTAGTTCGCTTTTCGTAATCGAGAGTCAAAGGCCTTTATTACTTCTTACACATGCAAAGAAAATGGCGTTAAATAGGTTGAATCTGCACTGACTATGCAACGCTGTCATCGGTTTATAAAGTATTATGTTTGGCAAAAGTTGGGCCCTCTGAGAAAACAGTTAGCTGTGAAGATGTATAACAAAAAAATTAAATGGATCAAGTTAGTGAAACAGGCTCATACATTTAAAACTTTCACTTATAGCATGTTTTTCTATACAATTTTGGGGCTCTGCAGGATTTGGCTTGCTGAGAAAATATGCTAAACCTCGCTCTTCAAAAAGTTTTGGAAGCAGGTATGCTCTCACACGATGATGATCGACTGTCGAGCAGCGGATGCCGCGAAATGTATGATCGACACGCGAGGGTCTGAAATATTTCTCCATCATTCTAATAGGTGCATAAAATTACCGTGGCTGGAGGCGGATAAGTATAACAACGTTAGGAAATTGAAGTATACCCTCCCCCACCCCCCTGGCAGACGTCATTAGCTTTTGAGGTTGAGACTGTCGGGATTCAAAGCCAAAATGCAATTAAGTGTGTGGCTTGACAAAAATCTTAATGAGACTGGACATATAAGCCGCAGTACTGACAAGGTAAATATAGTCTTCGCATCTCCGATACGGCTAATGTCTAATCTGATAAAGGACTCAGTAGTGAGAGGCGCAGGATTTTGGCAGGGGTGGCCAACTCGATTATGGAATTCCTATCCATGACAAGGCCTTGAGGAAAAAAAATATAGACAGCAAATGCTCAGAAGCCAGCGAAAAGTACTGCTGCTCGTGGTAGGTGCTTTCAGAATGGTGTCGACCAATGCACTGCTGGTGGCGGTTGGTATCCCGCCGATTGATTTCCTGGCAGACGAGAGATGCGTGCTCTATAAAAAGAGCGTCGATGAGGTGAAGTAGAAGCACAGACATACTGGACGGTCAAGGGAGCGTTACGGACAAATTACTATACTGCTCACTTCCTCACATGACTTCGTTGTTTTGGCAGCGACCTGAAGAGGATAGGAAAGAGAGCGTATATTGCAACGAAGACGAGGATACTCCTAATCATCTATTCGAATGTATTAGATGTGCAGACTACTAGAGGCAGCCGAAACTCACCATCGGCGAAAGTTTCACTGTTGACAATTTTGCCACGCAATTGGGAGCAAATAGGTTGATACTCAAAAAAAATAATGAGACAGGTGATGCCATGAAAGGTACAGGAGGACATAAGTAGACCAAGAAATCAATAGTAGGTCGGTTGTACAGGGTGTTACTTATCCGACAAATTTTAACCACATATGCATTGTTAAGAAAGAAGTTGATTTCTCAAAAAAAAAATAATGTAATAAACAGAAATTAAGTTATAAACCTGAGCTTCAATAATAAATTGAAAAATAAATATCTGTATTTTGCGTTCATCGTCGTGATATTAGAACACGCATTAATAACTTATTGTAGCAAATGTTGTACCAAACAACTGACGAAAACAAAATACCACGAATTTTTTGTTTTTTTATACTGATAAGACGTGTAAATAAGGTTTAATCTGTATCGTTGGTGGTCTGAATGAAGAACGGTCGATTTTTGTGAAGTTAAATAAGAAAGTATTTTGCGAATCTATGTTTTTAGTTATTTATCAATAAAAATGTCACATGTGTACACTAATGAGTAGTTAGTGTTCATTGTTTTAGCGTACGGAGAAGCAGGGCAATATTCGCGAGCGGCTTCTCTCGCACACCGATTTCCGAATCGCATCACGAAAAATTTACTTCAGTGCAGTTTTGCGCCCCAGACGTGGAGTGGATGGAGGTCGGATTCGCCCACTACGCGTTTTAAATGCTGAAGACGAAATTTTGGATATTGTGGAAGCTTGTATAAGTAGGTGAACTGTTAAACTGTATTATTTTATTATCTCGATTTCTGTAAGACTTTTATTGCATTTTTTTTTGAGAAATCCACTTCTTTTGTATATGTGGTTAAAATTTGTCGGATAAGTTGTGAAACACGCTATTGATGTAGGCACGAATGTATGTGTAAGTACCATGGAGAGTAGATGACTGAAAATGCTCAAGGAAGACCGTGGTGGGATGTGCGGCTTACTGCTAGGCAGAAGTCTAAATGCCACGCACCGCGGCTGCTATGGGGATCCCGAAGAAACTTTGCTTATCCGATTTTTGAACCGTCTAAGGTTCGTAGAACTAGGAAAATCCTCCTCTTGTAGATTGTCCTACAATCTCGACACCCTAGGGATAAAGAAGCGGCCGCATCGGCCAGTTCTGAATGTACGAGGTTCGACATGGTCAGGATTGGAGATCGAGGTCAGGAGGGTCTGACTTGCAGGCACATTGAGCGGCGGATCATGAAGGAGAGCTCTGAAGAGCAACTCCATTGGTGTAACGATAGAAGAGTGCTAGATCGCGGACGGCCCGCCGGTGCGAAAGGGTCCCGATACTGTCTGTTAGAGAAGTCATCGACCAGTCGGACAACCCTCGTCTGAGCAGCATCGAACATGGATAATGTAGTCTGGCCGGCAGCACACAAACATGCGAGCAATACTCGAGACTAGGTTATGAATCCGACCGACGGATTTCAAAGATACAGCGCAGCATCCCTATTGGTATACAGGTATCTATTCTTGGACTTTATGGTGTTGTAAAGCATGACACCTGATTCCAGTTAAATTTAGACTGTTGATATTAATTTCGATATCGCATTGCCGTTAAATATTTTATCCGCTATGATAATTTTAATTCTGCCATGATAATTTGAATATAGAGTATAGCTAGAATCAAGTGTCAAAATTAGTATGACGGGTAGGCGTCGCCGAAATTAATTTCAAAGGCCGAAATTCATTTAAAATCGGGACTCCGATCCGTATCATGAGTAGGCCATTACTGGAATTAAAGTATAGGCGAGACAGAGACTGTTGACAGGAGAGAAATATCGTATAGAAGGGAAGAGAGAAGGGGTATAGAGGTCCCAAGCCAACAAAAGATCACAATATTAGTCAATGTGAATACTTTACCTGGCAGTCTCGACTACAGTACCATTGATTGCCACATCCCGCGCACACAAATTGGGCTGGCTTCTGATTGCACCCTTGACACATCGGTATTTCATCTCCATCCGATCCGGTGTCCTGAGAACCAGCATTTGCTGCTCGTCGAGCTTCAGCTGCTTCGTGGCTTTCGTCTATCACCAATCGGTCTGCGCTATCTTCAGCTTCTTCTTCCTCCTGACATGTAATTAATAACATGTAATATTGTAGGTGTTTCATGAATAATAGAGCTTGACTAACCCTTACTTGGAAGACAATTTATAGTTGAACGCAAAAAACCGATAGTTAAGCCTATTAAAGTGGGGAAAACCAATTCAAGTCTCGTATACAAGATCTCCGATTGTACCATCGAAGCGGTTTCAAGTCACGCCGATCTTGGCGTTGTAGTCAACGATCGTCTTACCTGGTAAGAACATATACACCAAGCTTGTATACATGCTGAAGATGTATTTCAAAGGAACGGCCGTCAACGTTTGCGTCTTCATTTACATGACAGTTGTACCGCTAATTTTAGAATTTGCTGGCCCTGTATCAGAAACAATAATTGTGTGCTAGATTAATCTCCTCGAATCAGTACTGCGTCGGGCAGCATCCTATTTGGAGCTCGCTGACTCAGCTATGAAGACCGTTTTATTACTCCACTTAGCCACATTCTCCGACCGAAAGATTCGAGGCGATTTCATAGTTTCATAGACCTTTAGAATATTTTCAGGCGTGATTGGTACCAACCTGAAGCATCTATACCAACTCTCGTGTAGCAATCTTCGCTGTCACAGCTTTAAATTGCAAAACTAGCCGTTTGGAACGACAGTCCTTCGGTGGTTTTCCCCTATCGAATATTCATCACTTGGAACAGTTTAACAAAACTTTTTGTTTTTATTTTGTGTATTTTACGTTACTTGCCATAGACTACGTTTCCTTTTGTACTCGTACATGAGCTTGTGGTATTGTATCCTGCTCATTTCCATTTTGTAATATAATAATAATAATGAATATATTTTTCAATTTTTGATCAACTAAGCCATGAATGTTGGTTCAGTCACACTGCTTCTATGACTGAGGTATCGTGTTCTTTGAAATCGTGATGCCGGCGTTTGTGTATCGGGTTATCCGTGAAAGGCAGATCTAGCATAGTGCTAGACTAGACATTCTGGTTTGGCTATGCTTAATTGTTAATTCACGAGCAATCTTCTGGTCAAAGTAAACTGTTGAGGACATTGATTGTTGGCAACATTGTATCAGTTCTGCAAATACGGTATTTTTTTCGATTATTTTAGATGAGGTCGCGATAGTACGCTAGGATACTTTTTAATCTGTAATGGAAATATCATAATTTCACCTACGCACTACTTTATCACGTTCTTAATCTTTTATTGGCAAAAGGAGATGTAGATCTACATATAGGTTTACTTACCATCAGTCTGTCTTTAGAAGATGCAGGATCGTATTGTGTATCCACTGGGGTTATAGTTATCTCATTACGAGCCTGAAAAGACAAAAGTATTAATATTAAAGTAGTAGAAATCATGGGGATTTGAAAACGATAGTTTCGCAAAAGTCATTCAACCTTGAACTATCAAACGAATAGGTTGAAAACCATACAAATACATTATACCCACGAAACTAAAACTTTCAATTGTTCGAGATGCCCTGTCGTCGATCGTCTTCAAATTATCAATATAAAGCTAGTTTTTAGTTAAACAGTCATTGCCTAACTGCCAGTGTCAGTCTGATCTCAAATTTTATCAGCATTAATTTCCATTTGAACTGATGTCAGAGACACTGACTTTGAAAGCTGTAGTGCTTTAGTTAATGTGATGCATACCAGGAAAACCTACAAAACTGCTGTTCGTGTTGTAAAAACAACCCCGAACCTTAACGCCTAGAATACCAATGGTGCTTTTGCATGGTTGCCATGTTAGAGGATTTTGCCCAAATTTTAGGGGATTTTTACTTGAGCAATTTTTCGGATATACAGGGTGTGCAAAGTTGGGCTTTTCCTTTACATGACGTGTGATCTTGAGAAAATAAGGGGATTTTCTTAGTAGTATATACACCAATGTCTTAAGAGAACCGAGATATTGGGCTCCGCAAACCCAATTCAACCTGAACCAAACCGAAGCCGGTCCTGTCCGTTATACGACGTACGACAACGATGTAAATACAGATTTTACGATAGAGCCGTACTTGGAATTTTAATTCAACTGAACAGTGAGTACTTTTATTTTTTTTACTTGTTCGCTCACGTTCCACCACACCTTAGCTCTGTTACATCAAGCATAGTTGTCTGGAAAGGAAAACCCCAACCTTGCGGACACCCTGTATTATTATTTACTATCATTATATATTTTATATGTTGTTTTGGGGGTTATCACATGTTTCGCTGATAGAAAGCACCCTCTCGCCTTTGCATCCAAGCTATCCCGTTCCAGTAATTAACTCGGATTCCCTGAAAAATTAGCAATTCTGAGGGATTTTTGTGCTTCTTCTGGGGGAATATTGTCAAATGCTGGCTTTGACAGATCCACCATATGAACACCAATGAGTTATTTGTGAATAACTGTTGAAAATCCTCCCTTTGTGCGGTGATAAATTGTATCTTTGAGGGGGAATAGTAACATGGTCATAGTTAGGAATTTTTGCTATTCTCCAAAATGCTGCTGAAAAAACTCAATCTTTTCTCCAAAGGTCGATAAAATTTATGGACTAAGTCAAGATTGATAGAAGAAGAATAACCAAAATATGCAACAATTTGTTTCAGGTGTTTTAGAAAAGGTAAGATCTTGAGTGCGATTTATAACTACGAAAGCACACGCTTTTAGGGTCCTACGGGGGAGATTTCACGATTTAGTTTAGTATAAAACTGTGGCTCAGCACAAGTCCAAGCTGGTACCCACTCCGATCACTGCGCCCCTAGTCGGGTGTCAAATTTTGGGGTTATTTTTTCTCATTTCGCCTGGTCTCCTGATATATAGGCTCAATGATGTGATGAATTATTCTCTGTCAGTTTAAAATATATGGTGCTTCTACTAAATCATTCAAGATTGATAGAAGAATTACCAAAATATGCAAGGATTTGTTTCAGGTGTTTTAGAAAAGTTGAGATCTTGAGTGCGATCTATAACTATGAAAGCACACACTTTTACTGTCCTACGGGGGAGATTTAACGATTTAGTTTAGTATAAAACTGTAGATCAGCACAAGCCCACTCCGGTTCACTGCGCCCTTAGTCGGGTGTCAAATTTTGGGGTTATTTTTTCTCATTTCGCCTGTTCTCCTGGTATATGGGCTCAATGATGTGATGAATCATTCTCTGTCAGTTTAAAATATTTGGTGCTTCTCACTTTTAGGGTCTTGTGAGGGAGATTTCACGATTTAGTTTGGTATAAAACTGTGAATCAGCACAAATACAAGCTGGTACACAATCCAAACACTGGGCCCCTAGTCAGGTGTCAAGTTTTGGGGTTATTTTTTCTCATTTCGCCTATTCTCCTGGTGTATAGGCTCAATGATGTGATGAATAACCAAAATATGCAAGGACTTGTTTTAGGTATTTTAGAAAAGATAAGATCTTGAGTGCGATCTATAACTATGAAAGCACACACTTTTAGGGGCCTACGAGGGAGATTTCATGATTTAGTTTAGTATAAAACTGTGTCCAAGCTGGTACACACTCCGATCACTGCGGTGTCAAGTTTTGGGGTTATTTTTCCTCATTTCGCCTGTTCTCCTGGTATATAGGCTCAATGATGTGATGAATCATTATCTGTCAGTTAACAATATATGGTACTATAAACGCGAATCCGTTTCTCGAATCTTATTTCTAGTCATCAAGATTTTGATATCTGTTAATATTGGGAATATTCACCTTGTTAGTACAAAGTATTTCGGAGATTGACACATTCGAGGGGTGAGCTATGGTATTGTTTGGCATAGTAGACGCTGAGTTGAGGTGATTATTCGTGGATCTTTCTGGTGCTGTTAGCAAACGCGCCAGCGTTGGGCTGAATGAGGTCTTGCTCTGCTTTGGAGGTGCCTAAAAAACAAATTGATTAAGAGGTTAAAACAAATAAGAAATCAAGTCAAAAAGTATTTCTGAACAAGTATCCACATTAAAAATGTGAGTCTGCACGGTACACTAGGCTGACAATCCAAAAACGGACCGTTGTAGAAAACAATTGTATAGATGGATTTTGCAACGAAATTATATATATTAAACAACATATATATTATATATTAAACATCAAAGTTGGAAAAATCACTTTTCCGCGTGTACTGAAAAAACTATGAAGCGAGAAAAGGCACTAAAACAGATTTATATAGATAGTTAATATTCTATACATGAAAAAATATTGTTTGCAGCTGTCTTTTCTCCGAATTCGAGCTATGTGTCGTACGATATTTTTTTAATTTAATGGCGTTATGATAGTCATTATTTAAATGGGTGATAGAGGGGGTTAAAAGAAGCAAAAAGTTTCATATAACATGGGGGTTAAAACGGCATTTTCTTAGAGAAAAGCGACTTTAAAGTAAAATAAAATCTGACAACGCCGCAATGCCAGAGCAAATTACGACTGAACGCAGTGTAAATAAAGATGGAGTTTGTAATTTTTGGCTCTTAACTATTATTTCATTATTTGATAATGTACTCGTAAAATGCAAACAATTAAAAACGGACTTACCACTAACTGTCTCAGCGCTTCACCTGGTGTGTGAAAGTTTATTGAACGTATTAAAAAAATCCACTTATAAATAGGGAACACAATTTTGATACACTCATTGTTTTTCTTTTTGAAACCCACACTGCACTTTTTTGTATTCAAAGCTATTCAAAATGTCGTCCTCCACTTTCCACACAAGCTTCATTACGACGAACCCAGTTTCTTCTTACTCTAGGTCCTCGAAGTTGTCCATTTATTATTTCAACCGCTTTAATTTTTTTTTCGCGATCTTGTGCTTCAGTTGTTATTGGACCAGCCCCATAAACCATCCCTTTAAGTTCTCCCCAATACCAGAAATCCATCTGATTGAGGTCAGGAGACCTTGCTGGCCGTTTTCGAGGATTAGGAGCATTTTGACCGATCCAGCGATTTGGATAATGTTCATTCAAATACTGAATGACGCCTCTAAAAATGTGTGATGGTGCCCCGTCATGAAGAAACCACAAATTCTGTCTCCGTTGTAATGACATTATGACTAAGGTCTGTTCCAAAAGTTCTGGTAGGTTATTAGCTAGAAAGTTAAGGTATCCTTCTCCTGACAACTTTGGGGGTAACTCGAAAGGGTCAATTACCTGATTGTCAAGAATACCCACCCAAATATTTATTTTAAAACGTTGTTGGAAATGACCTTGACGAATGGTATGAGGATTTTCGTGGGCCCACGTGTGAGTATTATTAATATCCCGTCTCGCGTAAAAGTACATTCGTCCGTCGTTAGAATGTTTTTAAAAAAATCCGGATTTTTAATGTTTTGTGTAAAACCACTGATAGAATGTTAGTTTGCGAGGATAGTCTTCTGGTAACAAGGCCTGCACTCGTTGTACATGGTAGGGATAAAGCAAATTTTCCCGTAGGATTCTATGGACTCTGGTATGCGATAGTCCTACACGGCGGCCCCATTCCCGAGTGCTGATATCTGCATTGATTTCCACGATATTTAAATTTTGTTCCTCCTGCTCTACAGTAACCTGTCTTTCGCGAGTGCGAATATTAGTGGGCTGAACACTTCCTGTATCTCGAAGTCTTTGGTACACTTGCACAAATGTCCTTCTGTCTAGGTGTACCCGTTGGCGAAATCTGTCGCGATAAATTTGACCTTCAAGATTTGAATTCTGACGAGCTTCACCGTAAACTAACAACATGTCGGCGAACTCTTGATTCGAGAACATTGTAAATAAAGACGACGACGTACGCGAACAAAAACAAAACAACAGGCCCGATGCACGATAGCCAACCACTGTTACCGTTTGCGATCGATTGCCGGTTCGATACGAGTGATGACAACGCGCTGTTGTCATGAGTGATTTATATATTTAATTTAATGAAACTTACTGACTACAAATTTTGGCTTAAGTTATAAAAACTTAATGCCATTTATTTGTTAATTACCCAATTTAAAAACGTTTTAGTTTAATTATACAAATTTGTGGTGATTGTGGTCGATATAAAGCACTTAAAGTTGTAAACTATAAAGCCATTTAGACAAAAATCTATTGACTTTTGTACCAAGGGTCATATGAACTTTTTGACTTGTTTTAACTCCCCCCCCCCCCCTATTACCCATCTCAATAATGACTACTATAACGTTTACACCATGTACAAGAACAGGTAAGAAGCGTAATGAATTTATTTTACTACAGACATACTTTATGCGAGTTCTCACGTGACACATTCTAGTGATAGCTCAAAATTACATGTCTATGAGATCCTAAAACCCTATTTTATTGAGAAACTTAATGAAAATACACCCAACGTAGGATCCCTTAGTCCTCAATCACTCCATTCTGGTGTGGATTCAGTCTTACATTTTCAACCAGTGTTTTTCAGCATCCCTCAAGTAGCATTGATTTAGTAGAGGATAGTTGTTCTATACTCACTTTAGTTAAGATTCCGTGTAAAAGTGAATTTGTAGGTGCTGCTGTAGTGGTACTTGTAGGAACTGGATGTACTGTCACCTCCGGGTAAGGCGGTGGAGGTCTGATTGCATTCTGGATAAGTTCAGTTCTTTCACTTTGGGATAATTTAGCGAATTGAAGTAGCATGTCTTTGAACGACACTGCATCCTGGTTGCTGCTGTTTTGACAGTGAGATTCGTTACTGTTTGCTTTCATACCTTCTTGCTGTTTATTCTGCAAAATGTAATGGATTCAAATATCGAATAAAGCTTTATGTTTGATTTGATACTATTTTGTCATTTTGATAAACAAATTGTAAAACCATGAATAAACGTTTTCGTCTTTTTCGTTTAAAATTTTTTTAGGTACTTTGTAATGCCTCATATTCAAACTAAAGGAACACGAGACCTGATTGACAGGTTTCAGATTTTGATTTTCAATGCTATTTCAATTTTTGTTAGGATTATCGAAAATATAAGAATATAATACTTCTGACTGTTCAGAATTGTTTTTTAATTCATCAATAATGGTCCAGCCTCCAATTCATGGTGGTATTGAATAATTGCACAAATCGATATGCATTGAAAACATACTTGCGAAAGGTTGGGAAATCTCGAAACTGGAGATACTACAGACCAAAATATGTGAATTGACCTAAACATACCTTAGTCCGAAAGTTGATAGTTTGCGATATACAGGGTGTCAAAGTTACAATTTTATTTTCTATTTTTCCTTATTGCTTGACAAGTATTTCAGATCTTGATATAAAACTCGGTATAGGGTGGTTTTCTAGTATGAGAAACAGGAATCCATTATTTTTTATGGTCAAACTTCTAGAGGGTGCCACTTACAGCACTATTTCGATAAGTAACTTATCATAACTTTTTTGTGCTACCCTGTATACAGCAACTGACTGAAAACTGTTATTTTCTCGTATTTCCACAACAAAAAAGGTTCATTTGTTAGAACTGTCTAAAGCTAATAGTTTTCAAGATATTTGTTTTTAAAGCATTACATCTTGCCAATCCGTACATTAAATGCATATCAGAATATTCATCAAACGTATACTCCATGATGTTTAACAACTTATTGTCAACTTAAAATTATTCATGAAGTTTTAAGTAATATTATGACACTAGTCTATTATCCAAAGCACATTGATTATTATGTTATAAAAATGTTCTATCATCATGGTACACATGATGCATTGGATATTTTAAAAACCAATATCTTGAAAACTATTAGCTTTGGACACTTCTAACAAATGACCCTTTTTTGTTGTGGAGATACGAGAAAATAAGGTTATTTGGTCAGTTGTTGTATACAGGGTAGCACAAAAAAGTTATGATTCTTGTTTCTCATACTAGAAAACCTCCCTACACTGAGTTTTAGGCCAAAACCTGAAATACTTCTCAAGCAATAAGGAAAAATAGAAAATAAAATTGTAACTTTGACACCCTGTATCTCGCAAACTATCAACTTTTGGACAGAGGCATGTTTAGCTCAATTCACATATTTTGGTATGTAGTATCTCCAAATTCGAGATTTCCCAACATTTCGCATATATTATTAAAAACATATGTACTCGTAACTACAAAACGTTTTTTCTTAAAGAAAAAGTAGTAAAACGTACTTTAAAATTGGAATCTGTCTTGGCTTTCGAGATACGCTGAATTACCGTTTTAAAACTTGAAGGCCATTTTTAAATTATCACCAAATGATTACGATTTTGATCGCGTAACTTGATTTTTTATATATGCCTGCCGAGATCGTTCCGAAAAAAAACGTGGTAGTGTCGATGCTTTTTGCCTCAATTTACAACAACTTCCTCGTCGTTCAATAATTAAATATGATACTTTTGACACTAGTTCCCTTAAAGATCCATCAAGGAACCAGAATTTCCTTAACAAAGAGCCCCTACGGTTCGAATAATGTATGAAGTAAATCCACTTAATATTGATTTGAAAAAGTAATAACGAATCTGTAAAGAAAGCACTTCAAGTTGTGATGTATGTAATATTATTATTTATGAATGAATTTATTGTTTTATTAAAAAAAAAATGTGAACAATTGGGGTGCTTTCCTTGAGTCGGTTGAAAAGTATTGAAAACTGCTCAATGTCTCGAGAATTTGTGCAGAGTTAGTCATATTTGATGATGTTGATTTTTACTGGTATGTCAAGTCCCATATTACAAATTGTATACTAAATTTAATACCATCAAAAAATTAGCTGTTTTAAGATGATGTTGCCTAATAATGTGCCGCATTCAAACTGAGGGGGCATGTAACGGCACTCATGAGCGTATCTGTATTTCATAAAAAGTAGATTTATTCAATGTGTAGACTCACCATATTGATGGTATTTAAGAGCAGTCCCAACTCACTGCTGACGTCTTGGTTGCCCTGTCTCAGTTGAGCACCAGAGTAATTAGCGACCAATCTACTTATACCATCCGAGTAAGAAGTCCGTATTCTCCTTCCCCTCCTGGGAACTGTTTCCGGGTGCTTCTGTCTGTAGTCTGCTATTATTGATTGGACGTCTAGTGTAGGCCGTTGCTTAGCTGGAAGATAAAAGTATTTTGGTTATTGAGTTTGAAAAAGCAATTTTAAGCAAAATAATTTCGGTTTCGGAGAGGCAATGGTAAGCAAACAGAGCACATTGGGGTCTACTAAAAAATTCATCAAGTAGGGCGCAGATAACCGAAACACCAGAGACCAGTAGTTACGACCTTTTAGTGTATTGGAACTTGCAATTGCTGATGCTTTAGATTTTATAAATCTCTTAAAAAATCTTCAAAATATTTTTCGTTACTCTTGTTCTAGTTTAAAAATATTGGTTCACTCTGGCAGAGCCTAGAAAGACTCTTAAGAATTTTGTCACAAATACTTACTGGCTAGTGCAACTTATTTGGTGAATATAACAAAATAAAAATGACTTTCAGGATTCTAAGAAGCGTTCGGGAAACATAAATACAAATATGATATAAAAGCTGTAATTAGTCGAATACATGTATAGTTGCTACTCACCTTGCCTCAGATCCAAACCACCATTCATTTCCAAGCCACTCATCTGTGTTTTAGGCATCATTATTCTCTGTCTCAGTTTGTCTCCATTTATTCCGTTGTTTGCTGTACGTCCTCTTTGAGCACTTGTCAGATTTGCCTTCAGTATACTTTGGGACATGTTATTTTTGATTTTGTCATCTCCGTTGTCACCTTGAGATTCGTTCAGCATATCGACATATTCTGATTTTTCGGTCAACAGCATGACCTATAATATAAGACCTAGCTTGAGAAGTGGGCCATTATGTGTGGAGCACTTTTATGTGCTGCGGCGCGTAGTAGTGAAGAATAAAATGATGTCTCAAGATTCCTTTTCGCTATCAACACTTTATATCAGTGTTATTCAATTTTAGGGTTTAGATATTATCTACATCTATTACGGCGCCCCTAAATGGGCAATATTTTTCTAGCCCGACATTTCCGACCTATTTTCATATATTTCTGTCATATTGCTAAATTACTGGAATCCTACCTAATGCAATGTAATCATGTAATGTCAGTTATGTAAACTGCCGCGATGCGTTCAATTTCGTCAGTCATTCTTGTTCGATTTTGTAGTAATTCGGATGAGAAATTTTCACCAGGTAAGTGTCTATAAAATCCCATATTAAATTGGATTAATTGTTCGCTAAGAAGGAGTTCTTTGCCTAATTCAAATGCTTTATAATAACGCCAGTTTAAAAAAAATGCAGCGATACGAGACCAGCAAATCCGAGATTAAAAAATTGTTGGAGTCCATATTAATGTAGTTTATTTAATTAAACAAAATTCTACCGAAAACTCAAGCAGGGTTTCGCAAAAAAATTCCACTGAAACGGTCGGTTACTGAGACTGTGACTCAGAAGAAGTTGTCATAGCAGTATTTTTGGATTTGAAGAGGGCATTTGAAACAATTTATAGGGATATTTTGACAGGTAAATTAAAATCATATCTGAAAGATATATCTGGAAGTATTTTAAACTGGTTTAAAAATTATTTGTATTTACAAAAGTTGAGAAGACCATTTCATCAAAAATTGAAAATACGTTAGGTTTTCCACAGGACGGTGCCCTGGGACCATTTCTTTATTTTATGCATAAGCGATTCAAAATATTTTAAAAATTAAACTTTACAAACCTGTTTCTTCCTCTGCATCCTGATCAGTAGCTCCTCCTTAAGTTTTTTCAAATGTATCAGGTTGTTCCACTCTCTTTCCTTCTCCTTAGCCAACTCGTTCAAAGTCTTGATCTCTGCTAGCAACTGTTCGCTAAAGGTGTGGATCTGCTCCATGCTGTTGCAGTCCGCCATTTCGATGAACTCGTTAAGGATCTTTTCACGTGATGTGATGTGTTCGTGCATTTCTGCTCTCAGTCTTTTGATTGGGTAGTCTTCTGCGTCTAACTTGCGTTTGTTTGATTCGGAATTGGGTGAACCACTATTACTGTAGGTATCTTCCGTTGGTTGGTCAGGTGGTCTGACTCCTTCTTCCTGAAAATTTATCAGTGACTTAAACAGCAGAACCAAATCGTAAAACAAAACGAAAGTTCTATGGAAGGGTCCATATGGAAATTTGAGCAACGGTGGAAATGGCTCAAATTGTGATAAGATGTAGGTGGCCGCTCTGATCATATTTTCGAAAGAGCCCAATGCTCGGAAACCTCCTATATGGAAGTTACTGCAATGTCAAGAGATAAAGAATTGATTGAAAAATACCTGAAGCAATGTTAATCTAAAAACCTTTTATTATAACTAATGGAAGAAATAGGAATCAGTAGACCACAAGCTGATTGATGTTATGAAGGAAGTAAGACTAGATTGGAAAGATATATAAACAGTTGGTTATTTGTATTGGTACCAGAAGGGCTGCGTAAGAACAGAAGCAGGGGACGCTAACTGGATGAATATCGTTAAATGCATGCGCCAGGGGTGTGTTTCATCTCCCGTGCTTTTTAACATAATATATGCTAAGAAGATTGTTAGAGCGACTTTAGAAAAGAGGGAGTGCACGGTATCAAAATGAATGAAATTGTAAACAACAACGTTAAATATGAATATACTTGAAACCAACGAACCGTTACATACGCTTCTGTAGTAGAAGCGAACAACAACATCGAATTAACGGCAAACGCATAAAAATTAAAAAATATTTTTTTCAGGAAATCAAGACCACAAATGTCCAACATACGGGCATATATTCTCTTGGACTTTTTATTGCTAAATGCATTATGATTTCGGTGATTGTTCACTGATGTTGATACGCAGCTTTATGATAAATAGGTCTCAAAAGGTCGTCGTTTATTAAGAATTTTCTGCAGAACATCTGATTTCCTCAGGAGTGCCTCAAGGATCAGTGCGTGGACGGATTTAAAAAGCGTTCTGAATTTTTGTAGTATTCAATTTTTGCTGACCACTCACACTTATATCATAGTTTTGGTAATGAAAACTTCGAAATTCCGTAAGCACAAATACACACATATTGAAAATTATGCGACAGAACACAGTCTCCAGTTGAATCCCTCTAAATCCAAAGTTATTACTTCTTCTCCTAAGAATCTAAGGTCCCTGATTAAAAATAATTTGAGCATAACTTTGAGTGGCCATGCTACTCAGACAGAAGTTAAAAACTTAGGTTTGTTTATAGATGAAAATCTCAAATTTATTTCTGATGTGAATAGTGAAATTAAAAATTGTTTTACTATTTTACGGCACCTCTACTTGATCAAAGAAATACTTGTAAAACTAAAAATTATGCGAATCTTTGATAATGTCAAAAATTTCATATTGCGATTTAGTAAAGCATTTATTTGAAGATTCAGTTTCAGTTAAAGGTCTAAAAAAAATTTAAAATAAGTAGATTGATTTTCAGTTTCAAAAAATACGATCATATTAGTTCATGTTTCGAAAAGCTGCATTGGTTGAATATTACAAAGTTGTACAAATTTTGTTTACTATGCTATCTTCACAAACTCCCACATATCGTATTTCTGTTACTTCATTTTTGAAAAAGAAATTGGTATTTCGTGAGTATATTCACTCACGGAATATTCGACACTGCCCCCTTCACAAACTTTATTATTTCATAAATGCTTTACCTACAATGTGATCAAGACCGTCGACTGCTAAACGACTTGATTTTGATAATTCCAAAAAGCATATTAAACAAGTTATCTTTGATCTTCAAATATGAATTAACTTTCAGTATACATATAAATCATCTATATTTCGTCATATTTCTGCATATCATATGAATCCCTTATAGTTTTTTTTCGTGCTGTATTCAATTTGTAATTTTCATTACAATTTTGGAAGAATATGCTTAAATTGTTTTCAATATTCTAGTGCTAGTTTTTCGACGGTTAAGTGGTGGAATAGCTTGTAGCTAAGCATCGCCCTGAATAAACGTCGTTTTATTACTATTATTATTATTATTATTATTAATTTGGGCAGAGAGGTTAACATCATATTGTGAAAACAAAACTAAAAAGATGTATAGAGGTAGCAAGATAGGGATTCCTCGACATGGGACAAGTCCTAAGTAACCTGAAACTTTCCATTTCCGTCTAAGAGTACTAAAGTCCTACATCCATCCTCTATTAATGTACACTTGTGCGACGTTGACACTGAAGAAGTAGGAGATCAAGTGTCTCCAAGCATTCGAGACGTGGATGTACAGAAGAGTCCTACAAATCATCTGGTCGTAAAGAATAACTAACAAGCGTGTTCTACAATGTATACCCCCATCGAATTGCCACCATCAAAATGCGTAAAACGGCTTATTCGCAACACCTGATGAGTATTAGCTCCTACAATTTCTAATCCATGAAAAGGGGAATCGTGGAATGAGAAAAAATCATAAATCCTGGCTCCGCAACATTAAAGAATGAACTAACATATAAGAGTTACGCTATAATATTCGCCAACCTCAAAGGAAATGGAACCTATGATAGAATACTGGTACATGTTGATACAGATTTGCAGAGGAGGCAAGGAGGGCTGTTGCCCTTACTTGGGAAATCGGCCAACCTCTAAAATTTGCATATTTAGGATGAGATATTCAACAGTAATATTTGAAACTCTGGAAAATTTGCCTTCTCCTGCTCTTCAAAAGATGATGGTGGTTGAACCATTTATGGAATACTCGAAAAAGCATTCTATTGCTGCTGTTGTAGCCGGTTTGTTCTTCTGACTACGAGAGGTCATTCATGGACAACATTCATTTTATCCCCACCGTGCTCTCTACTAGGAAAGCTTCAGTGGGCGCTCAGATTCCAAATACACCTCCTCTGATTTTGTTATTTGTTGCTTTCCTTTGCCATTTAGATGCTTAGCGATCCTTTCGCTCAGATTTTCCAGGTTAAAAATTACAGTTAGATTATTTTGATTGGAATTGTTACTCATGCTTACAGTGATTTGCTCTTCTTCTTGTTTGACGTCCTGTATGGTAGTCGTCTTTTCACCTTCTTCCTGATTATTGACCTCTTCGAATCCATTCCCAATTGATATTTCTGGATTGACTCGTACATCTTCAGACGAGCGCTGCTCGGCATGGCCAGGTGAAGATGGTTCAGCGTTGCATCCTTCTCGCACGTCCTCCATTATTTGCATTTTGTTCAAACTGAAACAAAATATATGAACTGGAACTCAAAAATCCTATAAAAAGTTCTGGGATGGGCGACATAAGAGTTAAATATTTGTTAGAACTACAATTCTTGATAGCCAGGAGAATATTAGAGGAACTTTAAATCGCATCTTAAATAATTCTGTTGATGTGTTGTGTTGATATTGTGGGAAGAAAAGAAAAACACTTCAGCTACTGTGACTATTGTACCATCCATTTTCGTAAAATGGAAAACATTGGTAGGTGCAAAAGTAGATTGGTAGACATTTTATATCCACAATTATCCGTACCTTAACAATTCAACGACGCACTTATCTAACAGAATTACATGCGTTCGGCGATAATCTAAAATCAATATAATAATTATATTTAATATGTGCGTTATCTAGACCTGAGTAATATAACAAGCTACATTTGAAACAATTACCTGATTAGAATTTTTACAGGAAAAGTGACACGACCCATTAAGAGCAAATAATAATTACTGCAATTATTGCACAAAAAGATTAAACCAAAATCATCAAATTCTTCATCACGATGAGGATATTGGATATTGTTCAATTTTGGCATGTTTTCAATGGCCGCTTTATGAAAAATTGCACCCAAACATGGTAGGAAGACATCTTTCATCAACTCATTAGACTTTTGTTAAATTCTTATACCAAACATTTACAAAGCTGAAGGAATGTTCTACTGGCGCCAAATAAGACGACAGATGTAGAAGTTAAAGTTTTCTGACGTTTCGGCCTCCCAGGTGGTCAGTGAACTCCTATTCTTACGTCGGAATAGAAAACGACGTAACTATAACAACCAGTAAAATGGAAAAAAACAAAGTTCGCTTCGTTGACATTACATTGTACGGAATAGTTTTTTTTTTATAGAATAGAATACCTAATACCAGGATAATGACATTCTGCGCGTACAGCAGGAAGGCCAAATTCTTATTAATAACTAATATGCATTCCATTATTTGCATTAGCATGATAAAACAGAGCCAGGAAATAGGAAAGGCTATTCGCAGTAGTAAATACCTACGTGTATTTTTAACTCTTAAGCGAAGCTGCGGAAATGCGTTTTCCTTCTGATTTATCATGTATCGTGTTGCTATGTGCTATACAATCACTACCAGCGGGAAGGTATTCCATGCATGAGATTTTCATCGATGTCGTCAACTTTTGTGTATCTAAGACATGACTAGCAATGAATTAACGATTTTAAATAATTTTAGACAATTTTAATGGACCCTGCGTTGGAATTATCGAAAGTATGGCCGTTTTCAGAACCCATTTTTCGCTAATTTGTTTGTTCTTTGGAAAGTTGAAAAACGCCAGTTCTAAATGTCTTTGCTTTTCTTGTTGTTGTTGCTTGAACAACCCACCACTGCTCAGTACACCATAGTTAAATGTTTAATTCACTGGTTTTTTAATTAATACTTCACTCGGAGACTTATTTGAAAAACACCGTATAAAAAACAAACGAAAATAATCACAAATTACGTGCTAAAGCGTCATATAAAACTGAACGTTTGCCATCCGTCTCTGGGGAATTTTATCACCAAGTGGCGCCACTCGTGCAAAAGAGATAGATGGATCGCATGCGCGGCGATGATTTATCTTCACGAGGAATGGTTTCATGACAGAAACTCGAGTTTTATTTTCAGCGGCGAGCAGTCTTGGCAAAACACTGACACTCATTCAATGCGGTGACCTGACTGTTCAAGCTACATTCTCGATTCTATGGTATCTATCGTTTAAGGACTATGTCATGTGCCCGTGTCAGGTTCTTTGCGCTCGAGTTGGTCTCTTACTGAGATCTCGGAAACAGCAACAGATACGAAGTCGGTTAAATGAGGCCAAAGTTGTCCATTTACGTGACTAATAAAGTTTAGCAACTCAGAGTATTCTCGAAATTTTCCAATTTTTATGTATATGGTTGTGTATTCCTGACCCTATTTGGGGTGAGCTTTCAAAAATAATTTCACATTGACATTGCCACTTTTTATTAAATACAAGATGACATAATTAGAATTTCAATGTGACGTTTCGACTCTTGTTCTTCATTTTTTGTTATGGACGCCATATTGGGTTTATGCACAGATGACTAGATTTTTTAATTGTAATTCCGTGAATATACAGGGTGTTAATAAAGTATGTAGACAAACTTTAACCATCGAATCCTTGGTCAATTTGAAGACTAAATGTTCATATGAATATGGGTCCGTAACGGCTTTCTTTTATAAAGAAATACGAGTAATGTTCCAAATATTTCTGTGAATAATGAAACGTATTTATTGAACAATTGGTATAACCTATAATAAATGTTGCATGTTTTACAAGTTGCTGACGCTCATAATTAACGTGGATGAAAATAGTTTTATCCCTATTTTTGGGAAAAAAAATATTTAGGTCAATCATTTTGAACAGTAGCATTCGAATAGAACGACAACAATAGATAATATCAAATAGTTTTTTTTACAATAAATGTTCAAAGTGACCTTCGTCTTTAATACAGCCGTCTAGTCGGTCACACATTGACTGACGAACTCTCCTGAAAATACCCGGAGTATTTTGTATAGTCAGACATGACTCAACAATTCTGACTCTTAAGTCCTCCACGCTTTGAACATGAGTCTTAAGCCCTGTTCGTACAGCTGTCACCAACCTGTCAGTGATCGTGTCCAAGATCCCACCACACAAATTCTGTTCATTCTGGTACATTATTTAGACAGAATTCACTGTCGTCAAGAAGTCACCGACCACTGTACGAACAAACCATATACCTACTAATGATTTCAAATGTCCCCATAAAAAGAAATCAATAGGATTCATGTCAGGCGATCTAGGCGGCCTTGGCTGTGGTCCGCCTCTTCCAATCCATCGATTTGGATATTGATTAAAATAAAATACGGTCCATTCTTCTATAATTTTTTAGAACAATATCATCATTTCTTTCAGTACTAATATGCTGTAGCTTGAAAACAAAGCTGTTGCGAACCCATGTTCTTATGGAAAGTTCGATGGTTAAAGTTTGTCTACATACTTTATTAACACCCTGTATACGAGTAATAGGTCATACATTGAGATTACCAAATATTAGTTATAACAAAAAACGTTTCCATGGTTTGCCTTGAAAATGATAGCATATCGCATTTTTATTCGATTAGTCACCAATTAAAGATGACTTCTGTTTTTGAGAAAGGTCTTTGAAGACATGTACATAGATAATTTCTATCGACTATAACAAGTGTTATTTTAACAAGGAGAGCCTTCAAATGTATCACCTCAGCCATAGGTTGAAATTATGTAAATGCATGATATGTGCATCGATATAGATATGACGGATATGAAATCTGTTTAGCATCATGCTAACACCAACTAAAGAAATATTGTTACATTTTAAAACATATGCAGCTTATAGACTGTATATCCAGTTCAAGAAACCTACTAAGATACTGATATATGACACAAACGTTATCTGATAATTACAAGGAGGAAACGCTGTATTTTTTTAATAATCATAGTCTTACAATATTAACATATGACATATTCTTGAAATCATATTTAAAGACTTTAAAAATCCCATATGACATATCTAAGTAAAAGCGAAATTGACGATTGACTACAAGGCACGACACATCATATTGAAATTCTAATTATGTCACCTTGCAGAGGGAAAAAGTGGAAATGTGAAATTTATTTTGAAATCCCATATTAAAAAATGCCAAGAAAAAATAAGAATCGGGAAAATACGGTTCTTTTCGTCCATCTCCGGAAATACTCTGAATTACTAAACTTTGTAGGCGCCATTTTCTTTTTTACCGAAGCGCGCAGCTTTGTCCAAATTTAACCAACTTCCAGATCTCTTACGGTGACCCTAGCTGCCTCGTGAATATTCTTGCTAGCTGGCCGGGAATGTCCCGGAAGTTTGCGTCTTATCCCGTGTACAGTAATAAGACTGTACTGTCCCGGATCCGAACATCTAGCTTTGCCACAAAATTACTAGAGTCGCCAGTACTACACGTAACGTACGGATGCCAAGTGCAACCAAGTACTATTTGGGATGTGTTCCATTTTTGTTTTTAGTCAGTGGGGATTTTATTTTTATAAGACGAAGTTCTTAATTTTTGTTTTAAGTTAATTCGTGTTATTCTTGTACCAAAGTTGCCCTTATTAATTTTATTCATAAGGAGATGCTGAATTTTCGCGTTTAGCCTGTAAAGAGTATTATTTTTATAAGACAAAGAATAGTTATGTATTTTTGTTTTCGGATAACTCGTGCTGTTCCTGCAACACATTTTACCTTATCCATTAGCCATAAGGAGATTCTCATTTTTCGTTTTTAGTCTGGAAAGAGTATTATTTTTATAAGACAAAGAGTATCTCTGTATTTTTGTTTCAAGATAACTCGTGTTGTTCTTGTACAGGAGTTCACCTTATTAACTAGTCATAAAGTGATTCTTAATATTCGTTTTCAGTTTATTCCTGTTTGATATTAACTGGCGGCAGTCTTTCACCAAAGTTTAATTCAATCTTTAAGATAAGGCTATATGTTAATATTTTTTCTTTATTTTCATTGTGATACAAACTATATTGATGGTCCATCAAAGCATAAATTAATTAATGAATAAAAGTAAAGCGCTCAATTCCGATTACGTTATTGTAATATTATAAAAATATGTGGAACGTATTAAGAAATTCAAGTAAATTTAAATAATATTCGAAACAAAAAGTATAATCGATCCCTTGAAGTTGTTTACATCTGATATGCGTTTTGTATCAATGGAAAAGCAAGTACAAATAGGGTCGAAAGCAGCTTAGTATTCACTCGTCTACCATCAGCTAGGCGGTTCGCATGGCTAGATCCGTCTAAACCTCCTAATTAATTTTAACAGTTTATAAGCATTATTATTTAACAATAAAACATGTTAAAATATTGTCGAGGGTTAATTAAAATATATATTTGTTTTCATACATTTATTACTAACGCCCGACTCCATT